CTTCTAAGGCGGATGCTGGCGGATCAATGAAAACGTTGTGTTGTCGCCAGAGCGACCAGCGATCAGGCGTGTGAGCCAAATGGAAGTCATCATCAGCAGCAGGTTGGGCTTCACTTCCAATTCCAGTTCGAGTTCCAGTTAGATACAGTCGACTCATCGCTGCCCATTTCTTTTGTTGCGCTTTCTTTGATTGTGTTACAGTTTATGTCATCATATCTGTACATTTGTCATGGCTGAAACTTTCTTCTCTGCTCACACAGATCACCACACGACTCATCAATTAGCCGTCTCTTGAACTCTGTCTGCGCTCAGAACCAGTTGCAAATGCAACCAAACTTGACTCCACTCGTTTGCACTTTGAACAGTTATATAAACGCTTATACAACCCGTAGTTCCAGCTCTAATGGGATACGGCTGGGCCATTAGCACATTATTGCTCTTACTGCTGTTGTTGTTGTTGTTGTTATGCGCTTTCTTCGTACATACGGAAACAAGCACGCACACACACACACACACTTTTGCTTTTCATTATTTTCATTTGGGCTTTGGGCATGAGTAAACACTCGATAACAACGACAGCAGAAACAACAATGCCAAATTACACATACGCCCAGTTCTCCCTTCAACTATTTGCAAATTCAAACATTTCTTCTTGCTTCGCTTTTGTTCATACACTTTTCACAAGGCATAACCAATTAGACATGCTGCTGAATGAGACTCACAGTTTTATAACATTTTCTAAAGCTTATATAACCATTTATAGATAATAGATACCAATTGCTGAAGGTATACATCAATGAATTAGCATTTGTCATTTAAATATTATGTTTTAAAATATTGAGTTTATTTAGTGCTTACTTTGAAAACATAATATTCGCACCTTATCAATTGTTTCATCTAAATCGACCCATTTACTAAATTGCAGAGATATAGTATGTTGCCCCGCCTACTTTATTTACATCCCAGAACGTTGTCATAATTGTTAGGTAACTTCTGAAGCGTATCTGCCGTTCTCTGTGTGGTATAGAAAGTCTTTCTTTCTTTCTGAATTTTTCTTATTATTTTATTTATGTATTTTTTTTTTTTTTTGCATATGCAAGTCACACGAAACGAACGACTTTCACCTACTACTCAAAGTTGAGTCACCCAATGCTTCTACACACTTGCTGTCTTTGCTGTGGTTGTTGTTACTGTTGTTGTCACTCTTGTTGTTATTTTTGCCGTGCCCATGGTTTTTGGTAGAAATTCCATGTTTAGTTTTAATTTGAATACGGATAAGGCTCGTAAAACGTTTCACATTTGCCGCAATGACTCATAAAAATATATGTATATTTTCCATTCACAGATGGGCGCGTTGCAACAGCAGAGTTACAGAAACTCAGCTTCAGATATGACGAGCAAAAGTAGAGCAGATAACAGAGCATCAACGCCCGCAATGATCAACGCCGGAAGTAGCACGAATATGCGCAGCATCTTCATCCTGGCACTGGGCAGTCTTCTGCTGGTGTTGCTGTTGCCAGCGTTGGACGCCAGTCCCGTCTTCGTGGATAATCCCAGCTTAGCACAGTGTAAGTAACCAGATTATGGCAGCCAAGTGATCAAGTGGCCACTTGACAGCTTTGGCGCGCATTTCTTGAGAATCCAGTCAGGGAGAAAGATTTATAAAGACATCACAGCAGCAGCTTTGTATTGTCAGGCTTTTTTTTACCGGTTTTCCCCAGAACTACAGCACTTTCTCTCACGTAGGCTATTAAAACTCAATTTACTTTACTCTTTTTTTTTGGGCGCGCTGCTTGATAACAACGAAATTAAATGAAATTAAATAAAAGCGAATGCAATCTAAATGTAAAAAGAATACAAGAAGGCAGGCTGACCGAATATTTTAGTATATTTAAAAATCATTATCAGATATCTCAAGTGTAATAAAGACTTTATGCTTTGGCAAATTACAATTTTACTCATCACTTCCAGATTATTTTAAAAGAGATTGTAAGTAATTTCAGATTTATAAGAATATTTAATTTTTTAAAGTTGAAACCAAGTTAAAGATTCAAACAACTTAAGAGATTTCGAATATTTAGTTCTGCAAAAATGCTTTTAAGCCACTACACAATCAAATCTACAATAAAATCGACCACATCCTAAAAGGAATATTGAGAACAACATTTGATGTCTGTTAAATTCGACATATCGAAAGCAGTTATCAAGTTACAGTTGCCGTAAAAATGATGTACAAAAAGTAGAACTAAAATCTTAAGCGAAAAGCTGTTAATGGTCATTTGGTCATTTCTGCAGCACTCAAAGAAATAGAATAGGTAGCAGACAGACAAGAAAGAAGGCAATCAAATTTGATTGCCAAAATAAAACAGAAGATTCAAGTCAAAAACTTGTTTTGAGAAAATCATCAAAGTTGTGGATGCTGCTGCTGCTGCTTGCTCATGTAGCGTCTCAAATGAAAGTAATCAAAGTTAATGATGCGCTGGGACAGGCGTTGCGAGTTTGAGCACTGTTAAATTGGGTCACAGCCATTAAGAATTAAATTTTGACGCTATTAGCACTTCCTCGCTGGACCGATGCCATAAGACATGAGAGCGAGTGGCAACAAACAGCTGCCAATTTGTCGACAGCAAAGCTCAACGCTTGAAGTGGTTACAACAGTCGCAGCATCAGCTTGCGAGAGTTTTGAAACTAACACTAGACAACTTTCTTGGCTAAAAGCAAACATATACTCGGCCAAAAACGGGCAAAGCCGGCAAGCGGCCAAACGTCAGCGAGCAAAAGCAATTGAGGTCAACCATCAAAGAATGTTGCCATAAAATGAGCCACCAGCGCAGCGGCAAGAAAGCGTGTGCCAGGCAACGACAACAACAAAAACAACAAAAATAACAACAACAACAGCCAGCGAACGACTCTGTTAAGGTGGCAACCATTTCATTTTTATGGCTTGACTGGACCAATGCCGAACAACAACAACAACAACAGCAGCAATAATAATAAATAAAAAATTATACGAATGTATTTGTACGTAGAGATGCGAAGCAGAAAGCGGAAAGTAAATTGACGCCAAGTGAAAGGGAAATAAATAAAAACAATGCCCGCAAATGAAATGAACTCATTCTCACAGCCAGCCAGCCAGCTGTGGTGGTCAATCTAATACAACACCTACGCAGAGGTCGGCGGAGTGACCCAATTTATCAATAGTCGCCCACAAAATGGGGGCACACAGTGTGGCCGCATTCGCATGCCAAAAACGAATTTCCGACATTGCAATGCGGGACTGGGCCGCGCTTGAAATTTACCTGGCCCGTTGCCTGACTTGGCCACTTTGCCGCTTAGCTGTTTAGCTGCTTGGTAGGCTGGCAGTGTGCTCGGCGAGTGGCTAGCGAAACATATGCTAAGCTGTTGACCCAAAAAGCCACAAAATGAAATGCAAACACAGAGAACCTGACGAAGAAGCAGCTGTAAAGAAAGAGCTAAAGTCAACGGCTACGCTGACTGCTCTGCGCGCACCGCCTATGAAACGTGACAAAGTTTTGACTACAAAATTATAATCATACCTGCATGTGTGTGTGTGTGTGTGTCTCTCTCTGTCTGTATTTAAGGCCGGCATTCAGTTTTCGGTGGTGCTGCTGTATTTTTTTTGTTTGGTTCTTGGCCAGTTCGTGTCTTAAGTCATTTGTTTTGCGCTACCATCGCATATTCAATATATCAGCATTTCGTGTTAATTGCATAACCAATAAACTCATGTATATACCCAAGATTACAGTTAAAGTTCAATAAACGCAAAACACACTCACACACAAGCATAGAGGTGCTGCAATGTTGCTGCTGATTTAGCATTGAAATACGAGTAAATCTCACGCGAAATTTATGCGCAGTGTAACTTAGCGCTTAACGAGAATGCTCAAGTCTCGAGCTGTGCCATTTATTTATGACCACGCGAGAAGTGCAAACAAAAGGTTCCACAGTGGCGCTGCTAAAGAAAGGCGCCGCTTGTTGTCGCCAGTTTGTTGCTTAAGTCTTTCGTTTTGAAGCTCCTCTCTCTTTCGCTCTCTGTGGCTCGAGTGTCGTCTGCAATTACATAAGTTCAAAGACTGAACAAGTCGATGCGAGTCGGCTCCATTACAAAACTTGCTGTAGATTCTTAAGCAGGCAATTCATAAATAAATATAAATAAAAAGAATAATAATATTGCTACTGTTGCTGGTTGTTGCTGGTTGTTGTTCTTGTTGTTGCTATTGTGACTGTATTGCCTCATCGGGTCGTCTCAAGCTGACGCCCTTAAGCAAACTTTGTGGCGTGTCTTTCATGGCCCGTTGTGCGGCTACTGCTTCTGCTTCGGCTTCTGCTTCTTGATGTTGTTGTTGTTGTTATTATTGTTGTTGCCACTTCATTTTCACTTGGGTTAACCGTTTGTCTAACGGTAAACGTCTGCTTCAAATTGGCGTACAAATTGACGACGTTAATCGCTTCAGCAAACGGAAATGGTGTGGAGCATCAGAGTAGCAATAAAAATACGTAGCAAAGCGCATTTTATTACTCTAAGACATCAAAATATTTGATTGCGCATAACAATTAAAGCATGTGATTTCTAAATATACAAGTATTTTTCAAATAGCCGTACTTTTAGAGGCTTTAACTTATGACCAGGGGATGACTACACAAACAAGTTTATACTTTTTGGAAGAGTTATTTAATTACATTTAACATCATATAAAAAGTATTCAGGTTTTATAAAAAAGCACACAACTATAGAAATCAAATATTCTTTAAATTCATTTCTTACTTCCTCTGACAATGGACTCATGGCTACTTTATGAATAAGTAATGCCGATTTAAACTATGACAAATATCCAGATACAACCAAAAGGCACAAATGTGTTTTAGTAATCAAATAGGAAGCAATGTGAACTCTTGAAAGTAGTTCTTTTTTAAACATTATTTTGGTTTCTCTATGCTTCTGCTCTTATGGGATTTATTCAAACCACCTATTTTAATTTAATTACAGTTCAATCCGGACGCAACATACGACACCTGCCCTGCATAGTGCGCAAGTCGGGACGCTCTGGGACCTGCATGTTTGCCATCGATTGCATCAAGCAGAATGGCACGCACTTGGGCACATGCATCGATCGATTCTACTTTGGCTCGTGCTGTGCTCTGAAGGTATGTTTGCAGCGACAACCACTCAGCAGTAACTTTAAACTTTAACCGCGCCTTCAATTCTCTTTTCTGCAGGAAGAGGCCTCGCTGTTTGCGTCCGAGATTAACGATAACAGCATCGACCAGAACACCATCTCGCACTTTCCCCACGAATCAACCACTTTGCCAACAAGCGCGCTTTTCAAACTCACCACCGAGGCCAGCAGCACCACCCACAGTTACAATTATCAGCAGCAGCAAAATACCGCCAGCGAACTGCTCAAAAATGTGACACAAAGCTATTTAAGCAGCATTAAACCCGTGCGCACCACCAGCAGCAGCAGCACCGGCACCGCAGCGTCGAGCCACACGTCTAGCTCAACACGCCGTCCAACTATTGTGCACACCACGCATAAGAACTCACATTTTGTGGTGCGCACCACACCAAAGCCCAGCACTGCACCAACGCTGACAGTTACTGCGAAACCGACACGTCGTCGCACCACCACTACCCGACCAGTGCTAACCACTGCATCAGCTGTTGAGCACCGGACTGAAACAACCACAGTGCCCAGCAGGTTTGTCACTTTCCAAATAGTGGAGACAACCACTCCAACAGTCACCGAACCTACGCACCACTTGCCCGAAACAACCACCAGAAGGCACACCAGACCCACAACAAGCAGCAGCACCAGCACTGCAGCTGTGAAGACAACAAGCAGAACAACAACAACCACCGCCGCAACGCCTGCAAGCATCCCAACAAAAAGAACAACAACAACATCCACGACAACAGCCCGACCAACACCACCGCTGCGCACCACAACGCTAAAGCCACAAAAGCAACAGCCGAGCAGACGGCCAGCACCACCCAAGAAACCAATAGTATTCAGTAACACAACAACAACAGCGACACGCAGGCCCATCGAGAGCAGCAGCAGCACAGCAACAACATTGCCCGCTCGCAAGCCAGCCCACAGCACCACCAGCTCAACATCGACAATATCACACAGCCATAAAACATCAACAAGCAAATTGCCAGAGCGAACAACTCTAGCGCCCCGGCCAAAGCCACAACCAACGGGTGAGATTGTCAAGGTGCCAGCATTGCTGGCGGATGCCAACAGCAGCACAACATTCACAGCAACAGCGGCAACGACAAGTGCAGCAGCAAGCACAAAAGTTACGCGCAGACCAGTAACAAGTACCAGCATCAGCAGTAGCAGCAGCAGCTCAGCAACAGCAACAACATCAGCCCCCAAAAAGCAGGCTAGCACCAGCAGCAGCAGCATGGGCACCACAACTACTAGCACCTCCAGCACGCCTAAGCCCACACGCCGACATCCACCAAAAATAACAACAACAACAACAGCTGCGCCCGTTGTAAGCACCACAACAATCGTTACGACGCTGCTAACCACCGAAGCGCCCAAATTGCAAACCAAACCAATAGCAACACCCTCAGCAACAGCAACAACAACGACCAAGAAACCAGGTCTAATCACCTGGACTGATGTTGAAGCGGAGCCGACTACAAATGCGACCATTTCCAGCAACTGGCAGTCGGGACAGTCGGCGGATTGGGTGCCATTGCCCACTCTGTTGCCGGAGTTGTACAACAAGACGACAGGTAAGTTGTAGAATAACAGCAACTACAACACGCAGCTCGAGGTAAACATGAATCGAACTCTAATTGCAGCAACGCCCAGCGCCACAGACAAGGTGGTTATCTCTGTGGCCACCAGTGTCAGCACCAGCAGCGATTCAAAGCCAGGACAGAGTCAAATGCATGCAGAAACAATGGCAACCACCGCTAGCAATACAAAGCCGCATAGAACCACTAGCAGGCCAACAGCTACCACAACAACAACAGCTGCAACAAAAGCACCAACAACACCAAGAACAACAGCAGCCAGCAGCACAACACCAACAAGAACAACAACAGCAACACCACCAACAACAAAACGTACAACTGTAACCAGCAAAACTACAGATGCACCATCAACAAAAACAACTACAAGAACAACGACAACAACAACAACAACAACGGAGCGCATTGAATTAGTATCCTCGACTTCAACTCAAGCAGAATCAAGCAGCGAGTCGAGCGGCAGCAGCAGCATCGACAGCACCACAACGGATTACAGCGAGGAGCTAAATACAACGATCGATGCAACTGGGAATACAACTGTAGCGCCTGCCACTGGCTTGGAGGGCGTCGATTACCGGGAAGGTAAGTTCAGCGATGCGCTTCATTGCTTCATTGATGCAGGCGAAACAGTAAGAAAAGAAAATAACAAAAAATAACAGTAGCTGGATGCGGCATGCCGCAGTCTAAATACTCTTGCTGTCGGAATTCCTAAGAATCTTTTTTTTTTGCAAACAAGATAAACTGCATTCCGCACAAGAACTCAGATCTCGAGGTGTTTTTTTGGCCATTTGCCTTTGAAATAATAGTTTTTGTTATGATTAATCATGATACTTTTAAAAACAATCGATTTTCATTGAATAGATTTTTTAAATTAAAACACTTTGAAGCTAGTTAATGTCTAAATACTGAACATCTTTTTATATTATATATTTAATTTATCAATCAACTATATATAAAACGGTAGTCAAAGTACCCTGCCCCATTTAATAGTTTTAGTGCCCGCTACAAGAGTATAAGGTGTAAAAAAGGAAAAAGAAAAAACTAGTTTACCGAAGAGCGCAGAAGAAATCTATTAATATACCAGACTTTGGCCATAAGAAAAAGATGCGTGGCCATTAAATTCAATTTGAAGGCTGAACATTGGCCTTGAGTAAGAACTTTGTGTCTGACTGCTTACCGCGAGAATGATGCTCAAATGTGAGCAGTACGAGTAGTCACAGGGACGCTATACAGGAGCAGCTGCAAAAAATATTAAAAAAAACACAACATGCTGTCTAGAAAGCTAAGCACGGCTTTTACTGCCACAAAATAAAGAAGAACAACAGCAACAGCAACTCTTATGTCCATGGCAATTTTTACAGCAATAATTTACAATAATGACTGGCGTTGCGGTCATTGTGCCGCCTGGGTCACGTTGTCTGCGGTTACCCGTGCTTGCTTAGTCGATTATACGATCTACCCCACTCCCCAAACCTCCTGCTGTTCCGCTGGCAAAATGAGTCAGGAGTCAGTTGCCTGCCGAGGCCCGGTTGACCGATTTGCCAGCCAACTGCAAATATCTTGATGCACGAAACGAGTCGTCGTCGTCGTCGTAGTCGTCTTAGTCGTCGTCATAAAGTAGGCCGTTGACTGCAGGCCAAAGTCAAGGCCTGGCCAAGATAAAGTCCGAAAACGCAAGACATGGCCAAAGCATATTACATTGCCACAGATGACTGCAGAATGACTGAGTGCCTGCTGTAGTGATTAAAATGTTTAAAGGGCTGTTTTGGCCATTACTTTAATTGTGACTTGCTAGCCTATTAAATTGCCTGCTTCCCTTTGGTTTTCCATCTCTGTTGCAGTCTGTGGACGTCGCATGTTCCCCGAGCCGCGCATCGTTGGCGGCGCAAACGCAGCCTTTGGACGCTGGCCCTGGCAGATATCGCTTCGTCAATGGCGCACCTCCACCTATTTGCACAAGTGCGGAGCTGCGCTGCTCAACGAGAACTGGGCAATCACCGCAGCGCATTGTGTTGACAAGTAAGTGGCAGCAATAAAAGGGCGCATTAAAACCCATCTCTAACTGACAACAACTTGCGCTTTTCAGTGTACCGCCCTCCGATCTGCTGTTGCGTCTGGGCGAATATGATCTCGCCGAGGAGGAGGAACCCTATGGCTTCCAGGAGCGACGTGTCCAAATTGTTGCCTCGCATCCACAGTTTGATCCACGCACCTTTGAATACGATTTAGCCTTGCTCAGGTGAGTTTAAGCACTACACGGAATGAAAAATGAGAATATAAACTTATTTTGTATACCTCTCAACGGTCTTCAAATAAGAGTCTTTATTAATATATAAACTTTCTAAATTAATTAGGAAATATATATTATCAAGTACTAAGAGTAAAGAGAGGGGAACTAAATGTTGATCATACTGCTCAAAGAAATTAATTGTGTTTTTAGTATGCTTAACAATATTCGAAATCGTAGAACCTTTTCATCAGCAATATTAGAGAATTCCATATTTGAAATGTAGCTTCAAGTCGATGATTCTTACATAATTATTTCTAGTTTATGTTTATCATTATAGGCCATAATATCAGTCGCAATTTAAAGATATAAACCAAACTAGTTACTCACAACAACCAATTAAATTCAAAACCATTTCTTCTTTTAGATTCTATGAGCCTGTGGTCTTCCAGCCAAATATTATACCCGTTTGTGTGCCTGAAAACGATGAGAACTTTATTGGCCAGACGGCCTTTGTTACCGGCTGGGGTCGCCTTTACGAGGATGGTCCGCTGCCCAGCGTGTTGCAGGAGGTCGCTGTGCCTGTCATCAACAACACCATTTGCGAGTCGATGTATCGCTCTGCGGGCTACATTGAGCACATACCGCACATATTCATCTGTGCCGGCTGGAAGAAGGGCGGCTACGATTCCTGTGAAGGTGCGTTTGTGACTTGACCACTGGAGTTAAATGACTCGCTAATTGCATGCAAAATACACATTTACAGGTGATTCTGGTGGCCCCATGGTGCTCCAGCGTGAGTCGGATAAGCGTTTCCAGCTGGGCGGCGTCATCTCGTGGGGCATTGGCTGTGCGGAGGCAAATCAGCCGGGCGTTTATACGCGCATCTCCGAGTTCCGAGACTGGATCAATCAGATTCTACAGTTTTAGTCGCATCGTAGTCTTCGCCTGTGTATTATGCCTAATCCTTAGTGAATGCCCAGCACCTGAATCGATGTTGATATCGAAATTGAAATCGATATCGAAACCGCAATTCAAACTTGAACTCGTGCTTCGGTTATCGCCACTCGCTCCACTCATCTTATGGAGTTTTGCGCATAACCCAAGCAACGATTTCAGTTACTCCTCATCCCCCCAATTTCACCTCCAGCACACAGCACAAATAACACAAAAACACCACGAAAAACAACAACAATCACAATGTCATAATGTTAATTTTAAAGAAATTCTTAGCTTAAATCATAATTAACAAAACACACAAACAAACAAAAAGAAACATCCTAATGATGATAATGATATAATGATGATGTAACCTATTAATTGATTTGATTCTTAATTTATTCCTCCACATTTGCTCTGTATATAATTTTCTAAATTATTGCATAACATTTATTTAGACTTAAGTTTTATTTAATAGACATTCGGCAAATTGCTCTACTCGATGTAGGTCATTTGATTAGGCGCTTCTTTTCCACGAAGTTATTATACGAATACTTAGAAGAAGCTATTGTAATTTAATTTAATACCCGTATTGTAATTATTTATTTAAAAGCACAACAAATTAATTCAATTAAAATGTTTAAAACAACTTTACAGCTTACAACTTTTATTGGGAAATTGAGGCATATTTATTTATTAGCCAAGTCATTTGTGGAAACTCTCAAAAATGTTAAAAAGACTTGATAATTAATTTTTAATACCCGCCGTGTTTAAAAACAAAACCATTGTATACTTTTAGGCAGTCAGATAAACTGGCGCCATCTACTGCTCATTTTATGAGTTCCTCACGCGCTCATTCAATATATATTAAATCCGAGAGTAGTTAACAGAGTCTGTGGGTATTGCTCTCGAATATTAAGTGCATTGATTGTTGATTTCCTTCTAGGGATAGAAAAGGTTAGATTGTTTTGGGAAATTTATAACAATTTAAATGAATAGCATTTCGAGTTGAGTCGGAGAAATACACAAGCCTTAAAACCAACCGCTCGGTTGCATAGAGACATCCGAGTAGTAGGCCATCGCACTTCTCACATTATTCATTTATGGACTATTTATATTCAAAATGCATGCGCAGAGCTTGGCAACTGTTTAACATTTTTTGGCAGGCGCCGCATATGATAAACAAACGAACGAGAGCAAAATAAAACAAAAAAAACCGAACCAACCAAAAAATAAAACATTGAAAACATTTCCCAATATTTCGAAGTACAAAACTTTCTTTGCAAGCTAAGCAAGTGACAAATTTCCAAATGTATTTTGGATATGTTAAGTGAGAAAACGAAAATTATGATTAAATATGCGAAGCATGCAGCAAATGACCAATACGAAAAGTCAGGCAGCAGCAATAAAGATCGACATGATTTTGTGCGTTTTTTTTTTTGATTTCAAAACAATTTTTTGGTTGGAAAAAAAAAACATAATATTAAGACTTTTGCAAATTTAAAGAAAAATTAATTTTGAAGTACGTGCCGAATTTAATTTCAGACTTTGCATAGTCTACAACTTACCAACATTGAATTACTTTAGTTTTTTAAGGAAAGTTTCTTTCGATTTTGCGTAGACTGTAGTTTAATTCTGTTTACTTTAATAAATCTTAAGAAATTCATATAAATATCCCAAGATTTATATCTCGTTAGCTGCATAAGAAAGTATTTTTGACATTTAAAGGGCCTTAAGACAAAATGCTTTTGGTCAGCACGATGATAAACGCCCAGTAATTACAGTTGTCGACGTCATTGCGATGAGTTCGTTGGTCATGGAACTTTCGCTTTCGGACGGAGTCGGTCATTTACATATGAGAGACAGAGAGACCTACAAACTACAGGGGGACTGTCAGTTAGACAGGGCCGCTAGCTGCGTTTTGTAAATGGCGTGTGGGAGCCACAATTTCGGCCACTTGAAACGCCGCCAAGTGCAGATCGAGGAGTTGTTGGCGGTGCAGGCAAAACATATCATAATTTGTACAGGCATCACGTCTCACGAGGCTTCACTCATGTGCTCCGATTATCAACGGCTGCAATCACGACCAGGTCCAAGTGCTGTCGTTGCTCCTTGACAAGCTGCATAAGTTTTTAGCCAAGTGTTGCATGAACTTTCACATGCAATTTGGCAGTGGGCAGATGATTTGGTTGCCTGCATACAACTAATAATCGTTGTTTAGCATATCGTTGGGCGAGATCAGATTATGCGATTTGGACATAAATTACAACGTGCCCAGAAATTAGCAGCCTATGGTCCGGATCATTGATTAGCTAACTGACCAACTAAATAGCTTCATAACAATTTATGGCGAAAGTGAAAATTCGCAGGTGCGCCGCATTCTCTTTTATTATCGTATATTTAAAATATACGCAAAAAAAACTCTTATGTGAATTTTTATGTTTTATTTTGCTTTGTTTGTATTTATTGATAGCATCTGATCTACTATATATGTATGTTTAAATGTGTCCGTTGCTTTACTTTTGTCATCGTTCGAGTGCCAAATTGGCCATTAATGATACTGTTAACACTCTTTATGGATTGTGATAGGTCGGCAATTTATGTAAAATTGTAAGCTGGTGAAATTTAGGGCGCCATTCGCTTGTATAAGTTTATTTTAAGATAGACATTTTAGCACTCGCCTTGCCTATTGTGTTAACTTATTATTGATAATGATTTTATTATAAATTTTGAGCTACAAAACTGCCATTTATATCATTTTTGCGATTCTCATGGGTTTAAGTAAATCCATTTATAAAAAATTGATTTTTTAATTTCCCTTTCGGCTCACTCGCTCTCTTTTTCGCATGCCTTTCCTTTGTGCCTCTTTCTCTATCTCTCTCTCTCTCTCTCTCTCTTTTACTTTCATAAGCAGCAATAAGTTGCTTTCACTATCTCTCTCTAGCTTGCTGTCCTTCTCTCTTCCTATCTATGCCTCTCCCTCTGTCTCTCTATCTATCTCTCTAAATCGTAACTATCAACAAAATATTCTTCTCTTTTATATATTTTTTTGCACTTTGCTATTGTTGTATTAATATTTTACATCTATATCAGTTACACTAATACATCTTCAGTCTCTCAGTTACTCAGCGTATGCAAATTTTAATCTTAATTAATTAAAGTAAAATAATTTAATTTTAAATTTGCATTTGTCAATATTTAATTTAATCAAATTACAAAAACGTTGAAATAGATAAAGGGTAAATGGGGTACACTTCTCATCATAGTCCATATTACAGAAAACGAGAGCGTAGCATGAAAAATTCCCACAGAAAACGGGGCGCACACAATGAAAAACGAAAGCGATGAAGTAACTGAATGTGAAGTTGGCTCTTGCGGGCAAATCTTACATTTAATTTCCATAGAAAAGTTGCACAATTAAGCATCTTGAAGCATCACTTAGTACAAAAGAAAGAATCATTAAATGCTCCGCACTTCACGGCGATCACAATCCCCATCAGAGTGGGCGAGTGTCAGTTGGTAAGGGCCAGAGACGCAGACGGAGCTGTAGTTGGAGCCGGAGCCGCAGCCGTTTTTTTTTTTTTTTTTTGAAAGATGACCAAGTTCCAGTTATATACGTTTTGTCCCGCATGCACAATGACTTCAAGCGACGTTTTGAACTTTCCCAACCTTCTGGACAAGCGGACTCTGTACAATGGAAATGATTTGCTCTTGTAATTTTTTTTTGTTTTGTTTTTGGTTTTTTATTGCTGCCCCAAAGATTTATAGGAAGCAGCGCGCCAGCCACTCGAGAAGCAAACAAAAAACGAAAGTTCCACACTGCAAGTGTCCAAAAAGCAACTGAATTTTCTTTCTCCAGGCCTTAATATTAAAAAAAAACAAAAAAAAACGGAATAACAGAAAAACAATTGAAAGGTACTTGGAAAGGTAAACAGTGCCGCATGCTGCATGCTGAGTTGCCACCGTCTCAATTGCTGCTGTTCTTTTTGAGCCAAGACAATGGGGCCTGTCAATATCATCAAATGCAATCGCATACAAAATCCCAAGAGCAAACCAAACTTGAAAACTTCTTTAACGCTTTCGGGGCAACTGATCATTAATTTGATCGCATCATTTTGGAAAATGCAGCAGCCCATAGGAAATTACGCCTCATCCGGTAATTATTGGTTTGCCTGGCCCTTAAATCTTGATAGATAGATCTTCGACATACGTAAGTACTTAAGTCCACACACATGCACTGACACACACACACACACACACTGCGAGGGCAACCAGCAGTTTCTCAGCGCCGCCAGCTCAAATGAATTCGCTTCGATGAGCTTGTCTACAGGTGTATCTAATGTTTCGATATTGGTACAATATGGGCGTCATAATTGTAATTTAGTTAAGATGGTGAAGTGTTGAGACATTACCAAATGACAGTAGATTTAGAAAGCCAACAATAAGTATGTAATCTTCAAATCAATCTTCGGCTCCAAGTCAAAAATTGATTTTTCCAGTGGTTCGTTTCAAATTTGAACTTTGGTTCGCGAAACTGGCATTCCTTTGAAATCTAAAAATAAAAAATATTTTATGCATTTGACACAAAAGCTCTTGCAAACAAACATAAATGAAAAACAAATATAGTTTTGCAATTTTACAAATAATTAAATAATAAAGCAATAATCAATTCAAGCTAAAGGAAAAAACGGTATTCGCATCTATTTTGTCTGGGTTATGAGAGAAGTCTATGGAGATAAAAAGTGATTACCCGCCAAATGAGAAGGTGGGTCTGTTTCCCACCAACATTTATCACTTAGAAATGGATATAATAAAAAATGATACAAGTTTTAATGCATTTTCTTTTGACACTAACGAGTATTTGTGCAGTTTTTCTGTGTTTTTATTTTTTGTTAAATTAAAATAAGGTTTCGCTTTCTAATTAATTGCCTTAGCTGAGACGCCTACACAAAGCGACTCTGCGAGTCTGTGAAAATATTTTCCCTTTTTAATTTTCGCCAATTAAATGACCGCGCAATCAAATATAAAAAAGAGATGATTACATTGTAAGAGCGAAAGAAATAACGCCAGTCCGAGACGGAAGTGTATATAGATAAAAAAATTCTATGAAAGGTGCAAAAATATGCGCAATTGGATGGAAAAAGTGCAAACATACAAACAACATTCAAAAGCAATGAAGACGAAAGTTGTTGCGCAAATAAAATTATATGTGTACATACATAGATGAAAAATGCCAAATACAAATGGAATAATTGTGCAATTAGTTAAATCTACGACAGCACATTACAACAACGGTGGCAACTAATTGCAAAAGCTTGGCAAAAGTTTCGCGCATTTCATTCGCTGCTGCTATTGAATAACATTTGCGTAATTAATTTTAAGTGCACCGAAAACCAAATTAAATCATACGCTTACACGCTTACATGCCAACGTGCAGAGGGGGGAAACGTAGTCGAAGGCGATCCCTTTCCGGGCCATTGACACGTGCTATGAAAAATTGTCGGCTATTTGTTGTTTACGGCTTTTTCTAACGGCCAACATCTGAGTCTGTTGCTACACAATTCGAAGCTCGTTATGTTTGCATTTTGTTAACGTGTCATACATTAGTTAGTTAGCAATCATTGTGAGTGTGTATGTGTGTGTGTGTATGTGTCATATTTGTACTTGTTGCTACTCACTTTCATTTCTAATGCGCCGTTGCTGAAATTTCTTTTATTGTTATGCCCTTGCCAAAGTTATTACAACTTTCACATGACGTTTGCAACACGCAGCAAAGTGAAATATGCACAATTTAATTATTTTACATTAATTTATTGTTATTTAGATGATTTGGCATAAAATGCGTATTAATGGCATAACATCAAAATGATTTACCTATTACTACCAGCATCGCACATAATGTTAATTAATTTATTTATTTTCCTAATATCTAAAGCTAGATTTAACAATATACTTTGCTATATAAATAAAAATATAATCCAAGAAGACAGAAAACATTTAAGAAAAGACAAAAAATTAGCTTAATTTGTAAAATTTGTAAAACTTGAGTGAAAATTAATATAGCTTAAGAACTTATCAGTTGTTATCAATCTAGAGAGTATTCAGATCTTCGAATAGTTTTAAATACTTTTAGTGACTAGTTTGTTGTTGATTTAGTTTTCGTTTGTGCTTAAAATAAACAAGCTTGCCACTTGCTAAAAGTGAAATTATAGTTTTTTTCCTATTTGCTGTATGTTGAATTTTATTGTACGTTAGATTTTAGGCAAGTTAAAACTAGCTGGCTCTCAGTCGAACACTATTAAAGATCTTCCCACTAATATAACAGTATTAAGCTTATTTATTGAGCTATAAGCGGCTAGCGACTTAAGTGGAAAGCCAGGTTAAGACTTATGATGATTTGCCTGTCAGATCATAAAATTGATTGGCAAATATGTTAGCTCAATTTAGCTGGCGATTAATCACAAGGGCGTCGGCATGTCTCAACGTGATTAATTAGGACTGAACTTTGGCGAACATTTCAACTTGCTGAGCTTTCGTTTTCATCGGGTGGCGATGAAAACAAAGCTACAAAGCTAATCAACAGTTGCTCTTTTCGGAAGGCGTTGCTTTCTGCGTGTTAACAGCGGCTACAATTTGCCCCTGGGCAACCCCTATATCTTATATCTTTCATGTCTTACACCTGACAACCGCAAATTTGCAAAAAATAATACAAAAAAAAATTAAACTTTCGGCGGCATTTAACAAAACTTCACTTTTTTTTTGTGGGTTGCCCCGACGCCCATACATTTCAACGTTGTACAATTTTTTCTTTCGAAATTCAATTTCACACACTTGTCGCTCAAGCGCCGCTAATTAGAAATATGCTGATGTTATTATCGATCACATCGTATAGCAGCTCCCGCTGCTTCCTGTGCAAAATATGTGCGCAGCGGTGATCAAAAAGGTAAGAAGAAAAGTAAAATCGAAATTTAATCTTGATGATGGATCATCAGAAACTCATGTTATATGTGAACTCAAGATGCCAAAATAAAGATTTAATCGTTGGAATTTATTTTTAAGTCAAATGAGACGTTAGACCACAGCAAGAATGAGAGTTAAGCGAGAAGAAAGCATGCAGAAAACATACCTAATAATCGATTGATGGACCATGTAAACCTAGGATAATTAATTCATCAAAGTTAATTAATTCAACAATAAATATTTTATATTCATTAATTAATATTTTTATGTGTTTGAGCGAAAACTTTTATAACTAAAAGAGATGCCGAATAAATGAACTAACTGTACCTAATATTCAAATAAATTTAAATAAGAAAAACAAAAAACTATACGAAATTATATTTTTGAATTCAATTTGATAAACCTATTATTTCAATCAATTGCAAACAAACAAAAACCCTTTGAAAATCTAACAAGCAACATTCATTAACAAATTTAAATTTTGGATCAACTTAATTAAAATTAAAATACCCGAAATTATAAATTTGATTTGTGTTAAATCAAAACTATAGCTCATTCATGGAATTCAATGTTCATCGAATGGCATTAGTTTCATTAGCCTTTCAGCAGCGAACCCACCTGGTTGAGATTATATAATCCCAATCTAGCGGCTACTACAAAGCTCGACAAGCGCAGAATCGCTTCGCCGAACTTAATCATTTTGTATTCGACTAAAATGTGGCTCATTCGTGGAAGACAAATTTTGTGTTATATTTTTTGTGGAATTTTTTGTATTTTGGCACTTTTTTATGGTGAAAGCGATTTGTTTCATAGTTGCCTCTGTTTTAATTTCCTTGACTCGGGGCGATTTTTATGCTATAAACATTTAAATTATAATCAGTCAAATGTATATTGAGGATGCCGTAATATCAGCTCACTAAAATGGGAACAAGACACAGAGATAGAAAGAGAGAGAGAGAGAGTGAGAGAGAGATTAATAGAGATAGAGGAAGAGGTGTGAAAGTACACAGCTTGAGCAATTCTGAGTAAAGAAGTAAACGACTGTGCGCCACCCACGTGCCCGGCATGGGCAAATGGCCAAATGACAAAGCCATAAGCCGCAACGTTTTCCATTTCAATGGGTATGCGGCTGAACGCAAGAGCAAACCAAAAAATACAGCCAAACGCGAAAAGAAAACAATCACAAAAGACAACGACAATAACGAAAGTGAAATTCTACACAAAGATCGTCGAGTCGAGTCCACGCTTGACCAACGGCCCGACGCGGCCCGGCTTGTCTCGACTTGGCTTGGCTTGGCTTGACTATGCTAATGGTTTTTGCTAAGCCCAGCCCAAAAAAAAAAACAAGCGGCAACTGCAGCGCGCTGCAGCGTTTCCAAAGACGTTGACAAATTTAAGTCAAGTGAAATTTGGGTCAAGGAAATGCCAAACGACAGGTTGGAGCCAAAACACACACACACTCGCACTCAACTGGACAGATAACAGACATTGTTGAGCGCTGGTTAGCAATTTTGAATGCACTAATTGCCAAGTTTGTGTCTTGAGTCTTTTGTCAATGACCACAAACGGATCTGCAGCGGGGCGATAACCTTGCTTAATATGCAAGCGCCGATATCGGACCAATATCGTGGCACGTAAATCGTGCATACGCGCCTTAAGAGCCGTAGGCGAAAGCTAGGCTGCAAAATCTAACGCTGTTGCTACTGTTGGTGACATCCAGCATATTGCAATTATGACATTAACAGCAGCTTAACAGCTTGTGGGGCTGTTAAAGCGATAGCTCTTAACCGCTAGTCGGCGCTGTAAACCGTTTCAGTTGAGTTTGAAACGCGCACGCGTGCAGACGTTAAGAGCGCAAACTTACACATAGGCAAACAGAGACACACGCATTTAGGCAAAGAGAGAAAGCCCAAAACGTAAACAGGAATAACGCGGCTGCTCCGAAAAACATAAGCCGAATCAGTAGCCAAGTAGAAGCCGAAATAGAAATGTTTACCATTTAAGCGTCTAAAGCGCGCGTGTCTCACAAAAATACTCGCACCTACAAAGCGTTCTCTCGCACTCGCTCTCTCTATCTTTCTCTGGCTCTGTCTCTCTCACTGTCTGTCTCTTTTTTGCCGCTCTCTCTCTTGGTGTTTGCTCTCGGGCGCGCTAAAGTGAAAGTTGTGCCACACAAAAGTGGCAAAGGTCCGTTATCTTGCTGGCCAGCGCTTGGCAAACGGGCAACGCTGACAATCAGACACACGCGGATCGTTCAGTTGACCGGACGCATGGCGCTTGACTTGGTCAAGAAGCAACACACTTTGAGCGTGTGCGCAACACTCTAAAATTCGCCGATAAATAATACCATCAATTAAATATAAATAATAATAAAATTTAAAAAAATAAAAAAAAACAGTGCTGTCTAAACCTAATGCTAAATAATAATATCATTTAGTGTGTGCGCTTTACAGTTACAGTTATTTGTTTTGTTCGCTTGATTAAAATTCAAATACATATATGAATTCTATGATACGATTATCACAGTAAAAAGTCGTGCATGAAACGCGTTCGCTGCCTAAGTCTTTTGTTTTACTGTAACGGCACATCTGTGCAAACGTGCGCGCATCGCGTTTTCAATTACTCAACAACAATAACAACAATATCCCAACACTTAGTTTCGCTCGTCCACTGCGTCCACTTTTAACCCCGAAACCAAGTGCTGTAAAAAATCGTCCATCGCTGCCAGACTGAGCGTCTAGCCGGAGTCGGAGTACTGTGTGTCCAAAACCGCAAACATGTTTAAGTGGGTTATGCCGGCGTCAGCGTTAGCGTCGCACACAAGCGCGACAACAACAGCAACAGCAACAACTATTGCAACAAGAACAACACCAACGGCAGCAACAACAGCAACAACAAAACGGCAACTACTTTCCAACGCTTTAACAACTTTAATAATAATAGGCACATTATTTGTGCAAACAACAAGTGGATTTAGATCAATTGAAACGAATGGCGGTAAGTAACAAACAATTTCAAATAAATATACACATGTATACTGTATTTTGTATTCTGTATACTGTATACTGAGGTGCAAAGAAAGTCAATAGAAAACTTTAAGAATTATATGTCAAACAATTGAAAGAAAATCAATTTGGCAAATTGCAAGCTCATGTTTTGCGGTTCGTTCTCATTGAGGTAAATCGAAGCGTGTCACTTGACACTTTGATGCCACTGCGAGTGAAAGCCTAGTTGACAATGGCCAAAACCGAAAAGCGTTGAAAATAAATAAAACGCAAGCACGCATCTAAACTATGCCTTTGTGTCAATAAATGAACAGTGGCCACATGAAAAACTTTGGCACAGAAAATGACTTTCCATACACATAAACAAAGAGAGACGCGCAACGCACTTGGCAATTATTTGGTTCATTTTATGCTACATTACGAGTACACAAACACAGACACACACACACACACATAACCACACACTATTTGCCATTTTTACTTTTTCAAACAAGAGTTGAGGATGAGCACATAAGTCTCATCTGCCCGTCACACACAGTCACACTTAGACACACTCAAACACACTTTCTTATGACAGTTTTTAACGTTTCTGCAGCTGCTTTCGGTGTTAATTGTTGCCGATTTAAAAAGTGAAACAAATTTCTAATGTGTCAGGTTATTAACTGGAATCGAAGTCACTGGCACAGCTATTGAGATTGAGTCTTTGTGTGCTCAATACTTTAAAGTAACAATCAGCAAATATGAAAGACTTAAGCGGCAAACTTTAACAGGAACATAACTAAAATACAAAACACTAAAAACCAAAATTGTGTATTCATTTGAAGAGTTGTTTAGCTGAAATAATAACATGCTTAGTTAAGCAGATATCTATAGAGTGGCATTATTAGTTTAATTAAAGAATTGCAATTGCAACAACAATTTAAATTAATATTTGAAATTGATAAAAGACAGCAAGAAATATTTAGCAGATGCAAAGATAAGACAAGTTTAATTTAAAGTTTTCTGCTATATAAAAATAATATTTAGCAAACCTTCCAGTTTTTCAACTGACACATCAACTTAAAAATACTTATGAATTCGGTTTTCAATATATTTGGGCCACAAATGAATCATTAAAAAACTTAACACAAAAAATAATATTTAGTAATCTTACAAATTTTTTTTTAAATGACTCAACCGAAAACAATTTATGTTTTCGATATTCGAAATATTTAAACCATTAATGGCGTTCATAATCAATATATTATTATGCGAAATTTCACACCCAAATCAGGGCATTAGACTATAAAAAAAAGACAGATGCAAGTTGAATAGACTTGGCATATTTGAACAATGTTCAGGTTGTTAAACTCTAACGCTATGGAAGGGTCGGGCATCAGCTCTTCAGTTTGCCATCAGTGAAGACTTTGCTTATGCAGAGAACGCTGTGAAAACTTCTTGCCAAACACAAACACATACACAGAAATACATACAGACATTATCAAATCATCGAATCATTGAACAAACACTTTTGTAGGTTGACTAAGGTAGAAAAAGAAAAGTCAGTGCTTCCGTTTTGCGGACAACTTTGCTGCGTCAGGTCAGGAGACAGCAAATGCCAATCATGCACACAATCTATCATTAACAGCATATATATATATATTTCTATATATATATATATATATTTATATATGTGTGCTTGTGGCTGTAAGCTACAAGCATAAAACAATTTTCAATTTCTATTCAATTTTTATTTGTACACCAAAAGGCAAAAGAAAAACCCGCGGCCACTGTCCAGCGCTGATTGCGTGTGCGAAATGAAAATGTCTTGGCCAGTAGCCACAACAACAGCAAACAGAAACAGCAACAGCAACAATAACAACAACAGTAAGCGCAACAGCAACAGCAACAACAATGGCAAATCTCTTATACAGGTTCTAATCGCAGCGTGTGCCAGTTAGCGTCTATGCACTTGTCGGCCTGCAGTTGACGTTGAATTTGCGGTAATTTGCTGCTCACTTCACTCAGCTCGCCTGGGGAAGGAAGCTATACACTGCACTGTAGACTGAAGACTACAGACTAAAGGCTGACGACTGGGGACTGGGGACTGTAGACAGCAGTTGTTGTTGCAGTCAGTCAGTTGCTCAGCTCAGCTGCTGTTTGGCTCGTTCAATTTTCAGTGTCTTTGGCATCGATATAATTTCGAGATCACGTTTTTACCGCTGTCCGGTCAAATGCTCCACATAAGCAAACGTCTCTTTCTTCCCACCTCTCTCTCACGATTGGTCTTGGCAAATTATTGTGCTTAAAAAGCAATTCATAATGTCTTTTATTTGCCTTTTAGGCTCACTGGCTAATTGCTTAACCGTTCTCGTGTTGCTGGCAATTTGCATTGCGGATTTCGTTTTTTATTGTTTTTAGTTTTGAAGTTTTCAATTTATGCAAATTGCGTATACGCAGCGATGTTATATTTCATTTGCATGCAATTAATGTGAAAGCGACATTTCTTTGACTTTCTTCCAAACCTTCATCAAGTGAGGAGGGTGTAGGGTAAACCACATTTTCCCACAGCCGTTTACTACATCATAAAACTTAACCCAATCGCATTAAGACTGTGACACATCATCAACATCAACATCAAGTGCCCGCCTAAGCATTTCACCCAAAAACAGAGAGACCAAGACCGAGACACACATTAAAACCCGTACTCATTTACTATATATCATATGACAGGCAATTGAGTTGCACTTCCTATGTTAGAGAGTAGAGCTCTGAACTATTAGTGCATAGCTACTCATTTGTTAGTATGAATGTGTGAGTGTGTGTGTGACTCGTTCATAGTCGTACTCGTTTGTTGTTTGCTACTTAGTTTATCTTTTAAGCTCATCAGCATTGTTCAAGTGCTACTATTGCGACGCCACTCTTGGCCATGGTTTCCTTTTATCGGCATCACCGCTGTTACAAATTATCGACTTGTCAACACTGAGACTGAAGTCTGGTCTTTGTTATGGATGCGCGTCTAACAGGAAATACATAGCGAACGTTAAATTTGTTTTGACATGTTTGGCGGTGAAAGTGAAATGCTCTTAACTGCCGATTGGCTGATGTCTATATCTTTTGTTTGGGAACTCTTTTTGTCCGTTGGTAGTTACTTCCGTTCCATGACTCCGCATATGTGTGTGTGTATTCTGTTTGTTTTCGCACGAAATCAGCATACATCTTCGAGGCTTATTCGTGCATCCATAAATAATCGCTGATGGGTCTTTATTTGTGCATTCTCAATGCTTTGGTTATCGATTGAAAGGCTATTGCCAAAATGATGTCATTTATTGTGGCCGACAACTTTCACTGCTCGTTCACACACATAAACACTGAACACTCTTCTTTTTTTTATTGAAACATTTTGCGATCATCGTGCATATTTGATTTGATGTTCAACGTATTTTTTGGCCAAAATGTTGCGGCAACATTCCCAGGCCTTGAGCCGATGTATGCACGGCTATCCATTACACTTAGTCATTCTAGAAAACGGAGAAAAGGCGTTTTTTTACAAGTTTTTCACTCAACTAAAACGTTTCATTGTGCAGTAAAAACACAATTCAAAGAGTTTAAAACGATCATTACCATACGCACAAAGCAAAGATCTTATCATGCCACTGCGCCTAGACGAATTCGAATGACCTGGCAGAAAAAAGGTGCCACACACGAAAATAATAATAATAATAATAATAATAATGTAAGAATAGTAATAATAATAATAAGACTGGTAATGAAAACAAAACGGAATAATGTACTCACATGCCGGGCATGAACAATAAAACAGAGCAGAGCACAGCACACAGCAGCAGGCAGACAACGAAACGAAACGAAACTGGCGCAACTGACGGACAACAAGCGATGATATCTTATAATAACTATACACCTCTATATACACCTATATACATATGTGAGTGTGTGTATGTGTGTGATTCTTGACCAATGCTTGGGGCTCCGCTTTTGGTGTCGCTGCGCAACCTGTTCCGGGCTGAACGCACTCGGCTCGTGGTTGACACTGTGATTACCTTTCTTTTTACTGCAGTACAACAAATACACTGAAAAAAATGAAGAAAATGAGTGCTACATAGTTCACATTTGGGGATGTATTTATTTATTTACTAATATATAATGCATTAATTAACAAACAACATTAAAGTTAATAATTGAAGTAAGAGTATTATTGACCTTAAATAAAAAGCTCTTTCGGTTTACCAAATATACAATTCTACTACATTTTTTACATAATTTGACCATTTGTCAACATTAAATTCTTTTCATTTATGATAAAAGATAACAAAGCTGTCTACGAATTTGAGCAGTGTATGCCGTTGACGATATAATTAAAATGCAAGCATATTTAACTGTGCACTTTTTTGTTACATTTTGTAAAAATACTCAATATAATAGAACTCGGCAAATATTACTAACAAAAATGTGCCTAATTCGAGAACATGAAAATTTGCGAACAAATCCAATAATATGAAATCTATTTAAATATTAAAATGTAGCTGCTGAATTTTATTATGCACGCACCTGTTGCAAAATACTGGTAACAATTTCGTGACACGATTTATAGCAGTGCAGCACTGCTACTCGTTTTGGCTGCCAGTTGTATACAGGTTTTGCAAAAAACAACAACAATACGACAATTTCCCATTAGAATTGCATGCGTAAAATACGTACAAGTGTGTACATATGTGTGTGTGTGTATTTATGTATGTATGTAAGGCGGAGTGACTGTCAGCTCTGTGGCACTTGCACATTCACTGTTACATTACCGGTCTTTTTGGACGCCGCATTTTATTTGGGTCACTGTTACAATTTACACCACATCAGGCGAGTTGGATTCGAATTCGAATTCGAACTCGAATTGCTCGCATGCTGTGCCGATATGCGAAATGACAATCGACGTCGGAATGAAATTCATTCGGAATGCTGAAAGGCGAGCAGCTGCATATCTATAAATCAAAGTATGCGTCTATCTATATATATATATGTATGTGTGTGTTTGATTATGTATGTCGCGACTTTCAAATGCAATTTTATGTAATTCAAGGCGCTGTCTTCCCGTCTTAGCATCGGCTCGCGTGCAAATCGGTTATATGGTGCATGCCACAGTCCAATTCACAGAGCAGCGCCTACTAGAGCATGCAGCAAGTTATGCTTAATATGTGGCCACAGCTGCAATTGCAATTGCTGGCACATACAGCCAACTATTTGCTGTTGTTAAACAATTCAATTATAATGTGATTAATAAAAATGTTTTGTTCCGCCTCAGCTGCCACACAATGTTGCACTCTATTTGCCTGTGACCCTGACCATCAGCAATCTTTCTTTGTATGCATGTACAAATGCAGTGCTGTTTAAGGGTTAAAAACTCGCTGTTTATTACACAAACCAGCCACAACAAAAGCAAACAAAACTTTCATTTTCCAACACGCAAAACGGAAAACTTCTCGCGTGACATCGCAGAATGGCGCAGAAAGAGATGTTAAATTAGAGAAACATATTAAAGATGCTTGTAACAGCACAAAGTCGCACGTAAAGCCCATTAAATTTAATAAAAAAAAAACTTGGAAAACAAAATAACATGATAAAAAAAAACAGCTACAAATCAGAAAACAAATTCAATTTAACTAGCACGAAAACATCAACATAATAACGGACTCGCACTCTCGCTTCAGCTCCAATGATTATTGTTGCTGTTGGATTTGTTGTTGTTGTGCTAGTCATAATTAGTAGCAGCATCCCAAATCAAGTGATAGAGATTTATTTACGTATAGATAGAGATTTATATACGCATCTAACAACATCAAACAGTTTTCCTTTTGTCTATGAAAAGTGAAATTAACCTAGAGATCAATGTTAAAAAGTTACTAATGATAATACCGTGAAAAGCGACAAATATTTTATTGCTTTTTTATCTGCTAAATCTTTACATTCTCTGCAATTGATAAATCGTGATGGAAATTTAATTAAAATATATTATAAATAAATATAAACAAAAACTTTCAATCATTATTATTAAAGAAATTTAGTGGCTCTAAGAAAATATTGAAAATATCTTTAGATTTACTGGCAGACATTTTCTGTAGTCTCTTGGAATGGAATGGAAATACCAAATATTTATTTATAGACAAATGGTTGTATTCCGTGCCTGATACAGGCCAATGTATGTTCTTCTAATTAGACCATAATTAACATGCATCTAGTCCAAGAACATTTAAACACTTTCACAACACAAGCAGAGCAAAAATTATCCAATGCAAAACTGGTCAAGAGAAAACAAACCAAGTAGTAAATTTAATACTTTTTTATACGTCGTATTGCATGCATGGCATATACGTAAATACTTCCATATATCCGAGTAAACACATATATAATTACTTCTTCATTTTGTTTTTTTTTTTTTTGCAACGTTGAACTAATTGATCGATAATAATTTTCCATTTACCGTTAAAGCGCCTCGTTTGTTTACATTCTTTTGTGCCGTCTGGCATCTCTGCGGCAGTCGGATGCTTGGGAAGAAAACAAGTTCTACGAATTCGATCTGCTCGGTGTTGCTCAGCGTGCAGCATATTTCATGATTCAATTAATTTTCGTTTCCCCAGCTCTCTGTGTGTGTGTGTGCGAGTGTGCGTGTGTGTGTGTGCGTGAATTTCACTGCATGCGATTTAAATGAAACGCAGTAAATAACTGTTTAAAGTCTGCAGCTTGCGCTGGAATTCAAGCTGAATTTGGAGATCGGTATGGCAAGGGCCGAGTGACACACTGACGTTGCCACTCTTCTTAATTTGTTTTGCCATAATTAATGATAGTTTTTGGTCAACAAGCTGTCGATGTTTGCTTTGAAAGAACAACCTGTTATCTCATTTTCAGCTGCTTCCTGCCTTTGCTGCTGTCGCTGCTGGTGCTCTTTCTTCGTCTTTTTTTTCTTCTTTTCATGCTATATGATAAACACCGAAAAATTGTTAAAGCTACGCAAAATTGTTCAGGCGTTTGACACACTTTCGTTGCCCCTCAACTCAAGAGAGCAGCGCTCAGAGAGAGTGTGAATATATATATATATGTATATATATGTGTGTTTGGCTGTGAATGCGAGCCGGCTTTATGTCTGCTCTCAGTTGTTGCGATGCTGTAACCTATTTTGCATGCCAAATAGCGTTTATTACGATACATTGACTTGAATTTCTTGTTGCGCCAATTAGGGTCAGAGGCTGGCAATAAGTCAACCCATACCATAACAAATTGCATTAAAATCCAACCATATCTTCAGTCAGTAATCACAAATCAGTTATAAGAGTCACGCGCGCTCAGTTACGACTTCAGTTTCGCTCTTAAGAGCCGCTCACCTATCCGCTCTTGTTTTTGTTGCTGTTGTTGTTGTTGTTGTTGCTTGTAGCAGGTGCGCCCCAAAAACAAAGCTCCAATGTTCATGCAGAGACACGTTGAAACATTCTTTGCATTTTTAATGGCCGAGGGGACGAGACGACCCTATCGTTTTTTATTTTTTATGAGTTTCTCAATTTTTTTGATGACACTCTCTTGAGATATTGAGTGCCGTGAAGGTCGCACTTTGGGTGTTTGATAGTCGGGCGGAAGAAGTGATTATAGCGACTATTAACAGTTCTCAGACATTTACTGCTGTCGATTCGAACTGAGATAGCACAAATATGATCTAATCTGAAATGCTTAACCATTTCGAGTAATAGAACTTATAGAATGCACATAATAACTATCATCAAAGCCCCCCCGTTTAGTTAACGTTCTGATCAAATTGTTTTCTTAATTAACAGTTGGGCTTAACAAGGTCAAATGTATATTCCTCAACAAGCTTTTTATGCTTAAGATTTATTTAATAATCATAATGATTAGAAACCTCATTTTCTTACATTAACACAATTTCACCTCAAGCCTGACAGGTTTTAATTATAAGACTCAGTATTCAAACTATATATATATATATATGTACAGTCGAAGCCATCTTATCGTATCTTATTTCTTTCATTTAATGACTTAGCATTAGCTAACATTTAAGCTACAGCTTTTAAAGATTTAAAACTCAGTTTACATTCTGATTATATTATACTGTTGTTCACACTACTCAAATGCAATCTTCGCTAAATATAGCCCTTGCATGTGCCATTAAATATTTGCTCAACTTGAAGCAAACCAATTATAGTAAACTGCATAATTAACAAGCACTTGTTGTCCCACTCCCTCTCGTTGCCCTTAACAATTCGCTCCCAAGAAGCAGACGCCGTAATTATGTTAGCTGTACGCTGGGTGCTGTTAAGCGTCTCCGGTCTCTGTTAAGCTAACAGCGTGCTGGGCCTGCGGCTATTTCTCATCGCTTGTGGACTTACTAACGTTTTACGATTGTCGGAAGAATACTTCAGCATACTTGAGTGTCTAATCATAAAATGCGAAATGTCTGCAAATAATAAAGCCACAAAAAGCGAGTAGTGAATTAATAAAAAAAAATAAGAAAGAAAAATACCCACAAAACAACTGAGCAGAAAACGAAATCGGTTGCAAAAAAAAGAAATAATAAATAAATAAATAAAATAAAAAACACTATCACTTTTCTCAATTATGTATTTTTTGCGGTTGAAGTTTTGAGTTTGGGGTTACGTACTGGACATTCTAATTGGAGTTGTTGTTTTTTTTAACGCTTTTGATAGCTTATTCAGTTTTCTTATTGTGTTTACTTTCACTTACATTTTTTTTTTTGTGGAGTGTCTGTGCTTGAATGTCCAGGCGCAGCTACAGGTTCAAATTTGAGTTATATTTATGTGTATGTAGTACTTAGATAGTTTGAAAAGATGCCAGATCTTATAGGCTTGCTGTTACTATAACTGTGCTTGCCCTATATTTAATTAGCAACTTAATTGTTAATTGATCACGACCACAATGATTTTCGTTTCCTTAGAATCTGGCACTTAGCTAAGCATTCGTATTTCTATTTTATAGTCTACTGCTCCCATTGCCGACAAACATTGACATAGTCTTGAGGCCAGCACGAAAGTGGAGCAAGTGGAGCACCGAGTGCTTGAGGTGTTAATTGTCTGTTTAAATGCGCCACTTGCTCCACTTGCCACTTCCCTGAAATTAATTGCAGTTGGAATAAATCAATGAACGTCGCTAGCGGCCAAAATGACAAGTGAGTTGGCAAAACTTGCTTGTAATTTTGGTAATGAGAAAAGTTTTTGGGTTTTTGTGGCGGCGGCGCGACATCATTGCTAATGCAACCGTAAAGCAGCAGAATGCAATAAAAGTGCATTTTACATAGCGGCAGCAACAACATTGAACTTTGACATTGCAGCAGCGACAGCAACTAGAGGCAGCAACTGCGCTGTGCGGCACTTTCACTTCAATGACTAACTGACTGCCTTTTCAACTGGCCCCGTTAGTTGCCGCCAGTTGTCGCTTGCAGCAAACAGCAAACAGCAAATGCTGCTCCTCATGTTAATTGAGTTTATTGTTTTTTGGCGGTTTTTTGTTTTTTTTTTTGTTTTTGCTGTATTTGCTGTTGCTGCTACTTCTGCTGCTCATAATTAGCACTGCAAAACGTAATTAAATGTCACAAACAAAACTTTATGGCCAAGCTTGTTGCTTTCATTTCAAGAATTTCATAGAAACTATCTGATTTTCACTAGTGAATCCAATTATGTACAGTTGCCTGACTTTGATTGCTATTTCAACAAGTGGAAATTTAATTAATCGCCTTCAGTTCTAGGCTTAATAAGCTAACAATTAAAGATTCTCAACCAAAATTGGTCTATTCGTTAAAAAAGTATTTTAACTTTTTGTTAAAATGAAAAAGGTAAAAATCATTTTGTATATATTTAAGCTCAATTTTAATTGCGCTTGACACAACAAATTTAAAACTTATAATTTATATGATTGAGACTTACGGATTTCTATCTTTTTTTAAACACTTGCAGTTGGTCGCAAATTGTTTGGTGGCTATCGCATAACCCCAAAACACTGTCGTGCCACCAAAACGCTGCCCAGCTCGGATCCGCGCTCTAATGGCCCCACCATCTGTATGTTCAATCACGAATGCGCGCAGCGGGATGGTGAGGTGGTAGGCGCTTGTATGGATGGCTTCCTATTCGGTGCCTGCTGTCAGATACCGCAGACACATGAGCTGGCCAGCACGCTGATCAATGATGCACAGAACGCTTACTTCCATCAGCAGCAGCAAAAGCAGCAACAGCAAAAGCAGCAGCAACAGCAACAGGCAGCAGCACAATCCTCCTATGAGAGCTATGGCGAACAGCAACAACAACAGCAACAGCAACAGCATCAGCAATTGAGCGACGATCAAGAGAATCTGGATAAGGTCTATCAGCAGCTGGGCAGCACTGGCCACCAGAATGAGTTGAGCTACCCGAGCACCAGCTCAACGGCGGCAACCCAATCGCATTCGGAAAGCGTCGAGTTTGAGCAGGAATCGGAGTTGCAAACGAACCAAGAAGTAATCAACTCCAATGAACTGAAGCCAACTGAGCAACCACCGGCAATACATGTGCACAAGCATTCCGTGAAGATTAACACATTCTCCTCGCCGCCGAACAATGATGATTTTGTGATGCAGGTGCTGGCCACATTGCCGCCAGATCATGCAGATGATGTGATTACCTTTACCACCGAAGTGCCCAACAAGATAGCTAGCGGACATTTGGAACAAAGCAGCTCCGAATCGAGCTCGTTTGAGGAACCACCTGCCACCAAGGCGCAAACGCAAACGCCAACTACAACACCCAAGCCCAGGCAGCAGCCACAAGTGAAACCTCCAGTGAAAGCTCAGGCGAAGCCTGTGCCGCAGCTTGCAGAGGCAATGAAGCGTCCAGTGCAGCAGTTGAAACCCAAGCCAAAGCCTGCTCAGCACACCAATATGCATCATCACAATCATCTCATCTTGGATGGCGGTGAGTTCACGCACAGTGATATCACACATCCCGGCGCAGATGCTGATCTGGTCGAGGATTTGCAATTCTCCACTGGCTATGGTCCACAACCAGTCTATGTGCAGCCACCAAAGGAACAGCAGCCACAACCTCCATCGCATAGCTACATATCTTCCAGTAGCATCAGCAGCAGCAGCAGCACACAGCCCACTGCATCAGCTGAAGATAAATATGTACTGGTGCCCACCTATAACAATGAGAAGCGACCTGCGATGGCGCATCCTAATCCCACTACAGTCTCCTCGATAACCACACACGTGGACTCAATTGAGTCCATTATACTGCAGCTAAACAATAGCAATCATGGACCCAGCTACAATGTGGTCAGTCAGCAGCAACAAACGCCATCCTATGCTTATACAGCCCAGGCGGATCCCACCGAGACAACAGTGCCACCCAGTTATTATTCAGAGCAAAACAAGACACCAGATCAGCAGGATTACGGCTATACGACTAGTGGCAGCGATGAGCCTGGTTACGACAAACTTTCCCCGGTGCATGATGACTCTAGTCAGACGGGTGCCGAGCTAGCAACGCCCCAACCTAACTACAATACTGAAGATGAGTCTTCGGTGCTGGACGAGCACACAATGCCCTCCAATACGTATAATGATGCCAATGCACCGAATGCAGCTCACACCTCAGATTTTAACAAGATGCCTGTTATGGGCATTGCCTATCCTGTTGACATGTCATACATTGAATCTGAGTCTGGCCAGGCAGAAAATGAGGCCGCTGGCTATGATCAGCTCAGCAGCAGTTCGCTCGAGGCCAACACTGAGGTCAACTTTGAGAAGATAACAAATACGTACACGGAGCCACCACAGCAGCCATCGTCCACCTATGTGCGACCCTCAACTCCAAATCGTCCTGTCGCTTCCTACATTGGCATGGTGACCATGCAGCACTACAATGATCCCCTGCCCGCCGAGGTGTCTGTCTCCTCGCATACAACCAAGGTGCAGGCGGAGCACGATGAAACTTCCGCTGGCTATCAGCACAATCAGAAGCTGCCATCGGCAAGTCCAGACCCAACACCTAGCTACCTGGCTTTGACGACAACAACACAAGCGCTGCGACCTCAGTACGATAACGTACCGGAGAGTTCCTCTCTGCGTCCCGTTCTGATCACAGCCAGTCCCAAGCCACGTCCTAAGCCAACCACAAAAAAACCACCAAGCAAGAAGCCAGTGAGTCATAAGAAACCAGCTCAGAACGAACATGCAAACACTAGGAGACCCATTCAGCAGCCATCGAGCAGCAGCTACAATACGGAGGAATCACCCATAACGCACATACAAGTCAAGCAACCTGGTAATAATTACAATCCAGCACCACAGCAATCTGCCTCCAGCTATGCTCAAGCTCCCGTAGTTAGTTACGATCAGCCTGCGGCCTCCAGCACCAGTTATGATTCGCCTGCAACTCCCACTTCCAGCTACGATCAGTCTGCATCAGTATCAGCATCAGTCTATGATCAGCCGCCAACTCCTACTTCTAACTACGAACAGGCTGCGACTCCTACATCCAGCTACGATCACCCTGCGGTGAGCTATGATGATGCTGCCCAGCCAGCTCAGTACGGTAAGCCCGCCACCGTCAGCTATGATGAGCCTGCTCCAGCTCCCGCTCCTGCACCCGCTTATCAACAACCCAGTCCATCTGTGCACAACTACAACAAGCAGTCCGCCAGCTCGCCAACACGCAAGCCCGTTTCGTCGAAACCCATTTCCACCAGCTATGTAACAGGTCCAACAACGCCCCGACCACCAGCTACTGTGGATTATCACTACGACAAGGTGCCGCCGCTATTTATGGCCGATGACAAGCTTGACGCGTTCATCCAAAGCACTGCTGAGAACATACTGGGCTCTACGCCAGGCAACTATCAGCCTCCCTTGTTCGCCACTGCATCGGCGCCCATCCACATACAGCAGCCCAGCACTAGCAACTATGGTGGCCACAAGAAGCCCGGCTTTGCGGCCAAACCAACAAAGTCCACAGTACTCATAACGCCTAAGCCAACCACTATAAATCTGCCCAGTTCAAGCAACTATGATGACATCAAGCTGGCTGCAACGACCAACTCTTACATCTATGCACCGACTGTTACGCGTCGACCACCCACTTTGGTCAGCTCCAATGACTTTGAGGATCCGGGCTACTTTGGCATGCCAGCAGCTGGCGTGGGCAGCAGTCCCGTTCACCTGGCTTTCACACAGTCGACCACGGAAGCAGTATACGGTGTGCCCTCCGATGATAAGCCTGCCTTCCCTGGCTATTATGGACCAACGCCCACTTATCCGGCATTCTCGGTGCCGGGCGAGAAGGTTGGCCAGCATATTGTCGAGGAGACATACACCTCACCCAATGATTTCAACAACTTCCCGCCGGTACGCAATCCAAATCTGAACATGTCCGCCGCATCGAGCGCTGTGACCAGCGACCTGGAGATGTCGACACCCGCCTTCGTTGAGGATATTGTGCTGAAGGATAAGATGCACACGCTGGTACACAAGCTGGTTGCCTCATTGCAGGGCAACTTCGAGGCACTCGCCGATATGATTGATGACGCCAACAACACAGCCTCCTCGTACTCATCAGGCTTGGCGAGCACCACCAATGTGAACAGGAAAACCACACGCAAACCGGTACGAGTTGCAAGCACTGTCAAGCCCAAGGCAACCACTAAAAGACCAGTCACACGCGTCAGCACCAAGGCGCCCAACAAGAAGACTTCAGTCACCACGACACGCAAACCAGTGGTAAACCGTCGCACCACCGTTCCGCCACGCACCACAACCCGACGTCCCGCCTCCAAGAAGCCAACGAAACGCATTAGTAGCACACCAAAACCCATTACGCGTCCCGTCAGCGATGATCTGGTGGATGAGGAGGATGAGGAGGATTTCAATCCCAGTCCGCATGAGAATGAAATTGATCAGGGATCCACGCTCAGCTCGTACGGAGGCGCCAATGGACGCAAGATACGTAAGTGTTGAGTGTTTTAAAGTATGGACAAAAGCAAAGACCCCAAAAAAAACATACTGTCACTCTCTCGCTCACTCTTTCTCTCTCTCTTTCTCTCTTCTTTGTTCTCTCTCCTGTTTCTAATAACTCATGCACATTTGTTAACCACAAAAATCAAAATCACCCTATATCCAATGTATTGTCCCTAACCTTACGCTTGCATTTTGATCATTCCAAAAATATAGCACGTCGCCGCCTCAAACGGCCTGTCCACAGGCATCGCCATCATTGATATACCCCAATCGCTATCCAATAGTCACATAGCTAGTTCTAGTAACCCTATCCCATATCTGTTATCCACAACCCTACCCGTTAACCCATCCAATTCATGCATTGTCCAGCAAATATTCGCAGCTCTTCCCTTTGTTTATTTCTGTATCTCACTGGCAGTCAGTTCTGACACCAGCTTGCTCGCTCGCTCACTCGCTCTCTCACTCTCTCGCTTTGTGAACACTCCCTACTCCTAACCTCACATTTCACTCCCCATCAACAGAATGCGGCGTTCGTCCACATGTCAAGTCCGGTCGCATTGTCGGCGGCAAAGGCTCCACATTCGGCGCCTTTCCCTGGCAGGTCCTGGTGCGCGAGTCCACCTGGTTGGGCCTCTTCACCAAAAATAAATGTGGCGGCGTCCTAATCACTAGTCGTTATGTCATCACCGCCGCACATTGTCAACCTGGGTAAGTTAAATACTACGAAAATCATAACATAATTCGCATGCTAATTGCACTCTTTTCAATAGTTTCTTGGCATCTTTGGTCGCTGTCATGGGTGAGTTTGATATCTCTGGTGATCTGGAGAGCAAACGACCCACAACCAAAAATGTCAAGCGCGTCATTGTACATCGCCAATATGATCCGGCTACCTTCGAGAACGATCTGGCCCTGCTCGAAATGGACAGTCCTGTTCAATTTGATACGCATATAGGTAAGCAGTAGGAGCATAAATACTCTAGCAATACTAAAGAAAATCACTGAAAAATCTCTTTTATGTAAGAAAACCGTGAAACTAAGTTTGTTACCATTGCCTACCATCTCAATGGTGTATATAGGAAACACCCAAACCGCTTTAAAATATTCGTTTCGCGTAGATTGTTGCCAGAACGCAATTCCATTAGCTAATTAAGATGTACAGAGATTATTTTCTTACTCCACTTTCTCGCAGCATATTATTATCCATTTACTCTAACATTTTAATTAACAATTATCCGCTTTTGCCCTTGCAGTACCAATTTGCATGCCCAATGATCAGGCCGACTTCACCGGGCGCATGGCAACAGTAACCGGCTGGGGACGTCTCAAGTACGGCGGTGGCGTGCCCTCAGTGCTACAGGAGGTGCAGGTGCGTTTGTTTGCTTGTTTGTTATTTGTTTGTACAGTACAGTTTTGTACGTCAGTATCAAGCTGTTAGCCATTAAGGCATGCCATTTGACCCGATTAAAACTTTTAATTGCTTTCCCACACGCAACAGGTACCAATTATTGAGAACAGCGTCTGCCAAGAGATGTTCCACACCGCTGGACACAACAAGAAGATACTCGGCTCGTTCCTATGTGCTGGCTATGCCAATGGCCAGAAGGACTCGTGCGAGGTAAGAAAACTTTTAATAATGTACCTGCTTATATATATATATAAATATCTATTGTTTTGCAGGGTGATAGCGGTGGTCCACTGGTGCTGCAGCGCCCTGATGGCCGATACGAGTTGGCCGGCACCGTTTCCCATGGCATCAAGTGTGCAGCGCCATATCTGCCTGGCGTTTATATGCGCACGACATTCTATAAGCCTTGGCTGCGCAGCATAACGGGCGTTAAATAAGCCACGCCCAGTGTCCAGGCCTCACAGCGAACTGTAAATAGAAGTAGGTTTAAAAAAACTTAAAGCGAAAAGGCAAACAAGTTAAAAACAACTTTTAAATTATTGTCTAAATCGAACGTCGCATTCACATACAAAACACTTCAACCTGTCCATTGCCCTCACTTCCATTTCCATTTCCACTTCCATTTTCATTAGTTTAATTGGTAAATTGCAGCAGCAGCAGCAGCAACGGCAGCAAAAAGCGACACAAATTGAGCGCAATTACAGTTTGCAGGCCACTTAGAGCAAAGTGGCCCTCAAACTGGCTCGTGCATAATTTGTGTTGCCTATTTTGAGGCGTCGTCTTTTTGAGTCTGCCCAACAGAGAAGTCTTAATGCGTTTAATGTTTTAATGAATCAAAGTAATTTATGAGACCCTGTAATGCAATAATAATTGTAAGGCATATTTATTTTAATGTTAAGATTATTTATTTATTTTTTTAATATTTATTATTGAGCTGACGTTTTTTTTATTTTCTTTGATTTAACTAAAAACTTGAGAAACGCGTTTTGAAATTTTTTGATAATTATTTTAATATTAATATCAATTGTTAATTTTCATAGGCAAATTGTTGTTATGTTAAAAAGAAAATTGAAAATAAGTGAGAGCGAGAGCAAATGTTTTTAGTTCAATTGAATTTACTAATTAATTAATTTATTCTAATCTATAGGATATATGCAAATATATCTATACAAATTTGTTAGCATCTTAAGAGCTAAAACGAACAAAACGAACACACAAATATGATGAAATAAACGAGAGTAAATTAGTGAAAATGCTTAAATGTAATTTTTATTGGAAAGATGACTTTGAACGGAAGTTATGCAAACAATTTATTTTATTCCGCAGCGTTTTTCAATTTAATATGCTGCCAACTCTCATTCTATTAAAAGTTGAGCTCAGTTAAAAATTATTGATTCCTTGGAAACATTCACTTACAGCGATACAAAAATAACGACGACAACAAAAAAAAAGTCGCAAATCAAATCAGTTCAGATGAAATTTGACTTTCTGGTGGAATACAACAACTTTTTAATACACAGCGCATAAATGTGATAAACTCAAATGAAGCCTATACAATTCAAGGTTACCAAGAGGAATATAGATACAATATGCAGAGTACTAACCTTGACATCCACCCACTTCCACTTTAAGTATCTGGTACATAGTGCAATTTCCGCTTGCCCAGTGGAAAACTGTGTTTGCCGTAGCTGTCTTGTGGCACAGAGAATATGCAATATGCTGCATGGCAGGTTACTTTCAATATTACTACAAGTTTTAGCATCAACCTTTAGCTCCAGCTACCCGTGTGCCGCCAACTCCCTTAGGCAATAAATTGAGCTGCATAAGAAGGAAAATGTAATGCTAAAACACTTTCAGTGACAACGAGCAGTTCGCATAACATGTTCTGCTCACCTCGGCAAGTGCGTTAGATATGAAGAAGTCGCTCCCTCAATCGATCTGACTTTGAAACTGTTTTGCGGGGTTGAAAAATAAATATTATTGACAATTTTTTTTATTTTAAAAGGATTTTAAAGGTCGAACCATAAAAATAAAATTGATATCACAGTTGACTGCTTGTCACTGTTGCATACAGGGTGCCCAAATTGGAGAAGTCATATATCTATATATTAAAAAACATCAATTAACATTCCAAAAATGTATTTTTGGGAATTATCCTTCTATATGCTAGCTTCAATAAAAGACGTGGTTGCAACACAATCATTTAAAGGAACTAACGAAACCGCAGTGCTTAAAAAAATGAAACAAATCTAACCAATGAATTGGACAGTGTTAAAGCTACAAAACAAATCCCTCAAATTGAATATTTTCCACCAATTTTGTGCTGCCAAGGACAAAGGACAACAAAGCCGCCGGCACTCGCATAATGTATACTAAATACAGATTAAGTTATGTATATTCCAAGCTCGACATAGTCAAGCAGCCAACAGCGAATGCATGTTTGCTGAAAACCTTTGGCAAGCTGTCAAATTTGCAGCTGAAGTACCCGCCAGCTACTAAAGGATACGGGCACACGGTGGAGTTGAAAGAACAAGAAGAAGAACAAGCACAAGCCGACAACTGCTGGCTGTGACGTCATTCGTGTGCCTCATTGATTCGTAGGCCTCGAAAGTTAGCACACGGCGAGAGCTTCTGGCTTTTTAATTCATAAAAATGCACAGAGCTGGAAAAAGCTTGCGAAAAAGCTCATGCCAGGAACAGCAGCAGCAGCAGCAGCCAGCGACAGGCGACAGGTGTTGGCTGCTTTGGCCTCAGTCGCTGAAAGGACACACAGGCAGCAGGTATAAGAGCGCAACATATGCTGCAACTAGTCAACTGCTAAACAGTTGATGTGTGTGTGTGTGTGTGGGTGTGTTGTCTGTTTGCAATCGGAGTTGTGCTTAAATTCAAACAAGTCTCAGATGTGAATGTGTCATTAATGATACCAGCTGCAATTAGGATTAGACATTAATCGTCTAATCAAAAACTAATAGACTAAAAGTCAGGCGAGTGTGTGTGCAGGTGTTTGGTGTGCCGTAATTAACGCGCTGAGTTAATTAACTTTTCCAACTGTCAAGTGTCATTTGTGAGCCAACAATAATCAACTCGCCATCTCCATTCAGCTTATTTAGGCACATGTGGGCGTGTCAGCGACCAAAACACACACGCCGCGTTCTTTGGCCGACCAACTTATCCAATTTCTTAACTGACAGCCAGGGCTAAGGCCCGCTTAACGACCATTTGCCATTTTATTTTTGTTCTCCAAGTAAGTCATCAAACTGTCAGCGATTGTCCACTTTTAGTTGGCCTTCTTCCTGCTCGATGACAGCAAGCGTGATAAGCTAAACAAAAGTTTATTTTCTCTATTGATAAATTGTTAAAATGTTTTCCAAATTTTGCCAGCTGACGTTTTATTTTTGCATATAATAAAATGATGGTAATACAAATATTTGTATCATTAATTATATATTCTATGTAAGTTTATTCATCACGTACACAAATTTACATAAATTGATTTGAATATTGACTTAACTAAATTGGTTGTCTTGTTGGGTAATAAGCAAATAAAGTTTTTTATTGTATCATAATTAATTCTATATTAATTAAATTTTCTTTCTTTACTTTTAATACAACTAAACTTTAATATAACTAAAGCATATAAAGTTTATATGCGCATTTAAAAAGTTCTTAGAATAGTTGCTCAATATTGACAACGAGGATTCTTTTTTTATCATTTTGAAATGAATTTTTCTATTAGTTAACACAGCTAAATTGGTAGTAATTTGTAGACACAAATAATTTTTTTTAACTTACATATTTATCTTACAATAACTTAAAAGTTATTTGGAAAACTGAAAGGCTCACATAGTTTAGATAAGTAAAGCTGAGCTGTTATTACCAGCAATATAGACATATAATTATAATAATATAAACCGAATTGTCAATTGCAGATAAGTAACGCCAAGTGCCATGTGTAATCAACCGAAAGCAGTTAGTTAGCAGCAGTTGTTGTTGCACTTATTTTATATAAGGTTCTATTAAGACGCCTAATTGTTAATGTTTAACTTTGACTTTGATGTTGGAAAATAATTAGTACGCTTTAATTATGCAACGGTATGATACATTTTGCGGACCCTACAGTTCCCACAATTATTCTCCCCTCTGACTGTGACATTTTAGTAAAAAAAAAATGGAAATTACATTAACTAAAAGTAATTCAACAAGTACCGAAAAGTAAAGAAAAATATCCTAAAAAAGTAATTAATGAAATGTCAAAAAGGGATTTTTTCTTTATTGAACTATGATTATAAATCGGACGTAGGGACAACTCTATTATTGAAATTGATTCAAGGCGTTTCTTAGGGCAACATATATAGATATACCCACACCACTCTTCTATTTGGCGAGCGCGGTACCAGTTAATGACGTCACTCAGTATCTATATTTAAAAAGTAATACCTTAGCCACACCCACGCTCCACTATGCCAGTCACTGAGAACTTGGTAGGGTAGCCAAGGCAAGGGCTGGTCGGAGCAGTCTGTGGTATCTGCGGTATCTATTTCAATGCATTATTTATGAGCAACACAAAAAAGTTTGGTGGGTTAAAATGTTTAATCGCTGCATGCCATTAAAAGACACATGTTACCCCATGAAGTATGCAACACTTTTATGCTAATGCACAATGGCTGATTGTGCAAAGCAGGCTATTTCAAAAGTGTATATATTTATGCTAGAGTGGATATTCTGATCCGTACTTAAAGTTTGTCTCCATTTAAGTATCTCCAAATTTGTGTATGTGAAGATTCTTTAATAAATATTATCCATCAACTTATGTAAATCTTAGACATACAGCAAGTTTAGGTCTAAGACACTAAATGTTAGTCCATTTCTAAAGGAAAACATATTTTGATATTTATCAATTTTAACCACAAACAATACAACATGTTATTGATGAATTTGAATCAAGATGCCTTTTCAAGCAAATTAGTTTTTGGTTTGACAATTATTCTAGTTATAATTAAGTTTGCTAATGATTATTTCGATGACAGATAAAGAGCACTTAAGCAAATAGTGAGTTCAAAAGGAGCAGCATTGATGGCAACTTTGTTAAGATAACTCTCTAGAAACGTATACATTATATGATAGATAAATTACCATTCAGACTAATTATAGATACACAGTGCTAATCAACCTATTCTTGGTCAAAAAGTTTTGTGTGTGTGTCGAATTGGTTAATTTATTAGAGCCAACGAAAAGATGTTACCATTTACATTCTATTTGTGATTGGCATCATTAACCGCATCGACCTCAACTAATCCATCTATTTAACCTTTGGCGAAATGCTTCTTGTGTATTTACATGCATATGTTCGATTAATTTTTCTATAAATAACGCTTCGCTGGAGCTGAATAAAGAGCAAACATACATGTATTTAGATGTATTCAAGTTGATATACAACTTACATCCGGTGTAATAAAAAGAGCTAAATGAGTCTGAGAAGCATAAATTAAGGCAGTACCGGTAATAACACTAAAAGCGCGCAATACACACAATTTTAATGACCTGGGCCAGGATAAGCCCAACGAGCCGGCTCGTTTCTTCTTGGCCATTTGCCGTCGGCACAGGAAACGTTTTTTTGTACGCAGACCATTTAATTCAAAAGTCACAACGAGTAAACGGCAAATTTTGCTATTACCTGCTGACCATTTGTTGTTGCTTCTGTTGGCTTTTAATCAAGACCATGTTTGACCTGGCTCTGATTCACATTTTCACAGCAATTGCAGCCGCTGGCGATGAAGTATTAAAAGGTTGGCAACATGAGAAGCAGTATTCCAGTGTGGGCTGCACTGGCCCAGCTACTGCTGCTCGTCCTGGCCACTCGGCTAGGTACCAGTGCATCCTCAACTTCTGCTGGCGACGGCACCGCCTGGCAACGGACCCTATTTGGACGCAATTCACGTAATTTGCTGCATCGGGGATCAGCCGCCTCCCCTGATGTCGATGTGGGCGGCACATTTGATATGTTTGCCAGCAATCTGAACAATGCTGGCTACAACAATGAATATGCCCAACTATTTGCACCATACACCATGGAGCAGCAGCAACAGCAACAACAGCAGCAGCAGCCACAACAGGTGAGTGCGAAATGTGATATTAATAGCCCTGTATGCGTTTATGAGCAATTAAGAACCGCAAACGCAACCCAAGCTGATTAATTAAAACTGAAAATAATAAGAAACACACGCTCAACATCAATCAGCTTAATTTCATAATTATAATTATAAATAACCGGCCTGTGGATGACACTTAACCTGCGCGCAACGGCACACTCTCTTTAATTATGAAAAACCGAAGTAGATAATTCACTTTCTCTAAATGAAATGAATTTCTCGCTAATATAATGATTATGTTTGACTATGCGTACAAACTTACTTATTCGAGTATTCTTTTGATTGTTGTAAATTCAAATATTAGAAATATCTACTAAATAAAAGCAAATCTTTCAAAATATCAAAATGAACACAATTTATCAAACTTTTAACGCTTAAGCATTTCGTGATTATTTTTACATTTTATTCACTCAGTAAAATTGTTATTCTGACGTAAACTCTAAAAATGATAAAAATCCATTAAATGTATACAACTTAAAGAGCTGAGAAAATCATTAAGTAGTATGTGAATAACTTCTAATACCAAAGACAACAGATACATTTTGAAAGCAAAGTGCCCAAAGCAGAACATGAAGCCACCGCCCACGTTGCATGCAACTAGAAAGGCAACGGCAACGTGTTACGAACATAAACTTAAACGACTTGCGGTGTGTTGCACAAAGCTTGTTAATTAATTGTAGCTGTCCACAGCCATGCAGCCGTCAAAATGGAAATCAAGCGACGGACAGCTTTTTAACAAAGATCAAAGTTCAAATGCAAAATGAGACGCACAGTTTGACTATAATCGTGTGTGCGTATCTGATACGATATCAAGGCGAGTGTGTGTTCAACAGGGGGTCGCTGTGGCATGCATTTTGAAATGTTAATTGCTAGATAGCATACAAAATAGCACGCATACGCAGCGTGTGTCACAAGCAGACACCACACAATGTTCAATATCACACATACGCCGCGTGCGCTGACCAAAACCGAAATATTTCTCTAATTGCCGCAGTCTAAAACGCCTTCACTACGTCAGCCGCAGGCCGAGGTATATGGCATTGTGGAGCCACTGATTGAGGACACGCCCTGCGCGAACCGTGCCTGTCTCCTAAACACCGACTGCTGCCCCACAGGCGTCTGTGTAAACACATATGGCGGTGAGTGCGGTTCGAGAGTTTCCCCTCCAGTTGCATTGTCCATCATTTACTGAGCCATTTATTTTAATAGAGCGCAAATGCGTTTATGTCTTCGGACGGCAACGGGATCTGTGCCAGCGTCATGCGGACTGTGCGCCAGGCAGCGCCTGCATGCTCGCCCCCCAGGAGGGTATCTGGCGTTGCGAGAAGGAGTCGCCGGTGCTGCAGGATGTGTTCAGTGTGCGGCCCAAACAGCCGCTGGGCAGCGAGTGCAGCAGCAGCAGCGAGTGTCAAGTGATCAAGTGAGTGCCCCCAAGAATGAATAATGTATGCATTTCTATGACCTGTTATGCAACGTGCTTAACGGGTATACCTTGTCTCTGTAAGTGGTATGGTGCTTATGTATTTCTTAATATTTTCACTATCTTATGTCAAGTTGATTAAGATATGTCTGCTAGTCGATATAGCCATGTCTCTCCGAATTTAAACTTACATACTCAGTTTCAAAGCAGCAGGAAACACATTAATTTGTTTTAAAAGTTAACCGCATCTCTTTGTATAAATATTCGAGTTTATTCGAAAGTAACATTTCTAAGCTGATGGCCAGCGCAAATCGTCGCCTATATATACAGGGTATTCTTACGTGATGCATTCATTTATTCGTTTAGCGGCATGTGTTGCCAGCAGCAGCGTTTTCATCATCGTGCCGCCTCCAAGCTGAGCTGCGGCTATTTTCGCGACGCCTTCGACTGTGTGGATGTCACCCAAGAGGTAAGCGAACCAAAGAGGGATTAATCATTGTCATTTGAAGAGCTATTTATTATATTTATAATATATCGCTAGCATTTGCCAAGCGTTTTCCAGCAGCGTCGCAACTGAAACCGAACGATAGAAGGATGCAAGATATATATTTATTTAACTAAAGGTAATTTAAAGGCAGCGGCACCGATTGATTAAAACATATATCTAATGAAATGGAAATTAATTAACATATCAAATGTTTAACAAATGCATATCATTCTTGTTGTTTATATATGTATAGGCATTAAGTATAGTGCTTGATGGCAAAACAATTCAAATATTTAATACAACTATATTGATATTCCACATGAACTTAAATGTGTTTTGCGTAGAAATAATTGTATTAATCCAACAAAAAAACAAGTAACAAAGATTAACAAACAAAAAATTAATAAAAAAAAAATACTGACTGAGGCATTCAATGTTATTACAGCAAGTATTAAAATAACAATTTTATTAAAATTAACTAGTTCAAACTCTACATGTAAAAATACAAATTATAATAATTATAATGAAACAACAAAAATATAGCAAAGACCATAAACGAAATGTGAACTGTACCTTTATGCGTTCCCCATTCGCATCAAGTCAAGTCAATATATAGAACAAGCGCAAAATAATGCACACATTTAAATATATATTGATAATTTATTCTATGTGAATGTATTACATAAAATAAACAACCATTCATAATGTTAATGAGGAAACAAAGTAAGCAAACAAATAAAAACAAAATGTAAGGCACGCATAAAGTGCAAAGGGCGCATGCCCACAAAACCAAAAAAAAAATGGAATATTAATTAATTTATTTGCTTGAATGATGGGCGCGAGTTTTCCTTGGGGGTTCTTTGTCTTACACAATTTTACAGCATTTTTTTTTTGCATAGTTTAAGTTAATGTCTTGCTGCAAGCTGCAAAACAAATGGAAAATGAATTCATTCATTTGCTAGAACATTTGTGTTGAGTTCTGCTTTAAATATGGTTATACATATGTTGCAAGGACTTCTATTGTGGCTATTTAAATGTATTTCCATGTCCTCAACCAGACGAATTAATGTGCTTTTGCCAAATAGAATTTGCCAAAATTGCTTTCAACTGGCAAGCAAAAGCTCGTCTCTGGCAATTTGCGTACACATTTTAATTAAAACACATTTGGGTCAAATGAATAAGTAAACGACTTGGCTAACAGGAGTCTGAGTCTGGCGTCCCATTTCGACTGTTTTCATATGCAATGTAAACAAAAATATAAAAGGCATAAAATGTTCCACGGAAGAGGCAAGACAGGCAAGTAGCTGAGTAAAAACATTAAAGACAATATTTGTTTGTTGTTTTACAAATATTTTGGATTTTTTTTTTGTATTTTCCTTTTCTTTTTTTTTTGTTGTTTTGTTTTATTTAAAGTGCCAGTAAAAACGCAGCTTAAAGCTAAAAGTTAGACTCTGTTTACACTTTCAACGCTTTTATTTGTTTTTTAACAGTACACCGTAAATGCTTCACATACACATATCGAAATTCCAATTCACATCATTCTACGCTCTTTGTCTCCGTCTCTCTCGTTGCTATATCTCTCGATTCCAGTTACGATTAATACACATTACACAAACACATTTACATCATGTCAAAAGAAACTTTTACACGCTTGAGCCTAACAATTAAAACATAGTTCGTACATTCATTTTGTTTTCTGTTTCAAATTTATAATTTCTTAGCTGCAAAATAGGCAATTATTATTTAGATTAATTTAAAACATTTCTTTTGCGCATTGTTTTTCAAGTCTTTTGTGGTTTTCTCTTCGGTTTTATGTTTGTTTCGATATTTTTAACTCAGTACTATTTTAATTTTCTCCAGACATCTCATTAGAGCGATAATGGATAATGGAATCCTTTTTGTTTAAATGTAATATTTTTTTTTTTGGAGAGCAGGATTTGTAAGCACTTTTTTCGGTGTTGTCTGATCTTGGCATATTTATCATTTTAACATTATTACAAATTGTTTTCTCTTGCGATATTATTTACACATTTTACAATTACAGGAATATTCTTTGTAAAAACTTAAGTTACGTTTTTCTGTTGCTGAAATGGAATTGAATTCAGCAAATTACAAATTACAGGAAATTAGTTTAACTTAAAGTTTTAATCGTATAACATATTTCAATTTTAGTTTTCTGTTTTTTATGTGTGCCTAAATTAATAGGAAATTAAATTTCGCAGGCCGAAAGATATAACAATCTAGTTTAGGTTTGTATATAGTATTTCTTTTGTTTTTGTTTTTTTCGTTTTCGTTATACGCATATCAAATTGAATTGTTATACATAATAATTATAATATGATGCTTAGTTTTAGTTTAATGAATGTAAAATTAATGGTTTCTCGACTTTATTTTTTGTTTTTCTTGTGTATTTTAATCTCTTGGCGTTTGTGTTTGGGGGCGGGATAAACATTTGATGTTGTATAGAAACTACTATTGCATGCTTGTAGGGTATTGTTTCTTATGCTTGGCTATGGCTTTGTTGTATGGGGTTTGTGTGAGGGGTGTGTATGTGTGTGTGTGAGTGTGTGTGTTTAGTGCAGACATGTAAAACACTTAGATCTCGTATACAACACAGACAACACAAGTAATGGAGGTTTACAGTGCAGGGAAATTACTTAAATATATATATATATATAAATTGTAGTTTTTATTCTTTATGTTTTATATGTTTTGTTCGTGAAACATCAAGTTTCTCACAAAGCAAGCAAATATATAATATATAAATTTATGTATTTCTGTATCAACTTGTTTAGTTTATGTTTAAGGACTACAGTAAAAATAGGAAGAACAAGCTTTGGTTATAACAGAACTAAGAAAATTGTCGCTTTTATGGCTATGAAAAACAATGTTTTAATATATGAAGTATAGAATAGAATAGAAAAACCTATTTTAAGAAGAACTTAAAGCCAGCCGATATACGTACGTGTATGTAGATGTGTGTGTATATTTATGTATAGTTAGCTTAGGAGACGCACACACAGCAGCAACAGCATAGGAGTGGGTTGTGAGGGGGCGGGGGGTAGGCAGGGGCGTGGGGTTTGGCGTGGCATGCAGCAGGCGGCGCGCCATATGTATATATATATATATATATATGTTTATTTAATTCTTATTTTCGTTTTGCTTCTCAAATTTGTTTTGTTGTAATTCGTGAGTTCCTGAGTTTATTTTGTCAACGATAAACGCCTAAAAAATGTTGAATTCATTTCTTCATTGTCAATAAACGAATTTCTAAATTTGTATATTGCTATGGTATATATATCTATATATATATATATATATATATGATTATAATTGATATAATCGCAGCCCTAAAGTTGCCTGCCTTGTGGAATTTGTAACTTGTTATGGGTATTCCTTATTTATTTCTTGTATTTTGTTAATGTGTGTTGCTGTTCTCACTGCTGCTCAGTCTTGGCAAAGTCTTTTAACTGTTTGTATTTATAGTTTGTTTTACTTTCAATATTTTTGTGAACAGTGGTTATAAAAAATATACCTATGTATGTTTTGTATTATGTGTTTAGGCCCTTATTAGATTAAGTTTTATTTTAGTTTTCTTTTTTTTTTGGGTTTTTTTTTAGCACAATTTGGCAGTGCATCGATTTTGTGGCGCGCCGCAATGCTTAACGCCTTACGAATCTCAGCCGAATGTGTCAACGAAAGATGTATGTACAAAAGCATATATTGGGGCAAAACATATTTAAAAACGAGCACAGTTCAAGCATGTATGGGGCGGGGAGCTGAGGCAACGAGGGGGCGGACAAGCTGTGAGGCGTTTGGTATGTGTTTGGCCTAAGTATATATATACAAAGTATTTGTTTGTTTGTTTTTTTGTTAATTGGATTTAGCTTAGTTTTGAATTTTTGTTTTTGCTGCTTTGTCGCTTGCTTGAAGGTAACACGGGGCCAGGTTACAGGTTACAGGTTACATAGGTGCGACGCACACACACACACACACACGCACTCCAATTTTGGGGCCACGCACTAGAGCCACAATCAGTTCTTGACCTTATCCTCGACACGTATGCTGGCTAGCGTCTTTTTGATGCGCAGCGCGGTGAGGCGCGCCACTGGATTTGGATACCAGCACTCCTTCATCACCTTGGACATGTTGTGCAGCACATCGGAGGCGTGCCAGCGATTTGGTATGTTCGGCCGGCTCTTCTCAATGCACACCACCTGCGGAAGGGAATCAGTTTAATATAGAATACACATTATGAGGGATATAATATTTGCTTACCTTTTTCATCTCCTCAATGCTGGGATCGGGCTGCACAGCATCCCAGTAGGGCAATTGATATTCCTCAAAGATCATGCCCATGTTGCAGCGACGTGCTATCTCCCAGAGTATCAAGCCGAAGGCATACACATCCGCCCGCTTGTACGAATCAAAGTGCTGGGCATTCATGCTCTCGTCGAGCACCTCGGGCGCCATATAGCGTTTGGTGCCCACGCGATGTGTGGACGGTATGTCCACGGAGTCATCCTTCTCCACATGCCGCACCGCCAGACCCAGATCGCCAATGGCACAGCTCAAATTCGACTTGACCAGTATGTTCTTTGACTTGAGATCGCGATGTGCAATCGCGGGCTTGCCGCGTGTGCCAACAATGTCCATATGCAGATGCGCCAATCCAGTGGCAATGCTCAGCGCCATATTTAGCATTGTGTTCGTGTCCACAGTGTGCGTGGTCAAATAGTCAAACAACGATCCGTTCTCGTGGTAGTCAGTGACGAGCCACAGCTGCGTCCAGGTGCCATTATCTATAGTGGAGAAAAATGGATTTTCTTTTAAGTTGAGCCACACAGTTGCAACATTTATAGCTCACCCTTGTTGTCGGCCGCTATAAAGCCCAATATGTTCTCGTGACGCAACATGACTGTCTGGTAGATTTCGGCCTCGCGAAACCAGGAGCACTCCTCCCGGCTCGAAAAGATCTTGACGGCCACATTCTCGCCACGCCAGCGACCGCGCCACACCTCACCAAAGCGTCCCTTGCCAATTACGTGGCACAGCTGCACTTGGCGTGCAATCGAACGTTGCACTAACAGTGGCAGACCAGCTGAGAGAAGCAGCAAAGATAGAGAGAGAAAGTGAATTAATAACAATTCTGGTTAAGTGGTAAAGTAATTTTCAAGTGTTTCTAGTTGATAGATTGGATTACAGATAACACTCCTCACCTGATCCAGAGCCGGATGTGGTCATTTCAATGATGTCATGCAGCGTCGTGTTGCCATTCAGGATGGGATCGTAGACAGAGTCCTCCTTGGCAAAGGGTCGACCATTAGCCAAACGCTTGCGGCGCTGACAATAATACCAGGCCACCGTACCCGACACACAGATGATTAGCGTGGAGCCCACAATGAAGGCGACCAGTTCCCAGCTACTTAGCGTCTTATTGGGCAGGAAATCTAATTAGAATACAAGTTGGATTAGTTGACTTATTGCCTTTGAGAGGCTGCGCGAGAGTTGCAAAAAGCTGAGCGTGAGAGTTAATGGAAAATTAAATGCCAGAAAGTTAGTGAATAAGTGAAGACAACATGCAAAATCAAGCCATTGATTAAAATATAAACATAAACATAAACGAAAACAAAAACTAATTACGAAAATAACAAAAATACCCAAGGTGCATTTGCAAACTAACCGTTAGTTGTTGTTTTTATGTGTGTATATGTTATATATGTATTGGATTAATTTTTCACTAACCTGCTTATGACTTTTGGTAGTTAGATATTTACAAACCTTTGTATACTTTGCGGCGATTTACTTAAAGTCTACACAGAGAAATAAACTGAAAACTCGCACACACACCCACACACACATGTAAAAAAGAACCCCACACACATACGCACACACACGCACAAGAGTAGTGCAAATGAGCAAACACAGAGCTACTAATAATATTTAGATGAGCAACAAACAAAAAAAAATAGTCTGCACACAGCAGCAGCAACGGCAAAAAAAAACATAAAAATGCGGCCATAAATGAATGGAATGAAGCCGTTAGGCAGCGACGCGTCGCTAAAATTGCATATCAATGCAGCCGAAGCACATGAATGAATATGAATGCACGACGACGGCAGACAGGAGACAGAATATACCGCAGACAGACCGGGTACAGAGAGAGAGAGCGAGCGTAATATAAACAAAAAGCGACGTCTGGAACGATGACGACTTATACTCTTTGCTGTTGTTCTTCTTGTTCTTGTTGTTGGCGAGCCCCCTTGAGACAGTTGTTGTTGTTGTTGCTGCTGCTCACGCTATTTTTTGCCTACTTCCTTTGGCTTTTGTGCGTCGTGTTTTTAACAAGTCAATATGAATGATGCGAAAGGTCAGCAGACAACTAGAAACACAGCAAGCGACGACAAGTGGATGGAAGGAAAAGGAGTAACAACGCACGAGACAAGGTGAAATACGCAACAACAACACAAATGGTGCGTCTGTGTGTGTGTTTGTGTGTGTATATGTGTAATGGAACAAAAACGAGAAATCCCATCAAACCAAGATGACTGTTTATTTTTTTCTCGAATAGGTGGGGCTGAGAGGGGCGCAGCGACAGTGTGACAGGTGTGTGTGTGTCTGTATTAGTGTATGTATGTGTGTGTGTGTATTTGTGTTTTTCTGCGAGTGCTTCAATAATTTCTGTCTAAAAAAACACGCAAATGATGCGGTGCAATGACATGGGCGTGTCGCAGAAAGGGTTTTTTTTCGAAATGTGCCCGCTGATTTTGTGGAGTGCATTGTGAATGGAGGATATGAATATGAATATGGATATGGGTATGGATGTGGATATGGGAGATTGAGTGGAGGAGGTGGTTTGGAGAGGGGGGATGAGGTGGTGTGGGTGTTTTTAGAAACTCTCACCTGGTACAACACCACTGTAATTTTCACGTGTATTGCAAAAATCTTCTGGACAACATTTTGTGGAGGAGGTCGGTGTATTACCATGACACCAGGCGGGATCTTCGGGTGGTAATTGGCTTTCTAGGGGTAGGCATCTACATACATACACACATACATATATAGTTGGATTGTTGTTTTTTTTGGTTGTTGTTGTTGGTTTTTCTTGTTTTTCTTTTTAGTAATAGTAGAGTAGAGTTTATAGTATATAGGCTAGATTTTTAGTTACTACTTAGTAAGGCGATAAAAAATTTGTTTTTTAATACTATTCCACAAATGGCAAAACAAAAGGGGGTTGTTTTTATTGTTGTTGTGGTTGTTTGTAGTTGATGCATTGTGCAGTTGATAAGCAGCTGTTGTTATAGTTGCAATTGCAGTTGTTGTTGTTGTTGTTGTCTACTTAGGAACTAATTGTTGCATCAGCGCAGCGAGCAGTGTGCAGCAGAGGCGTGGTCTTAAGGGGTTCTTTTTATATGGGAGGGCAGCAGTGGGATTTTCGACAGCGGCAGTAGCGCATTTATGTTTATAGCTGTGTGCAAATACCAGCAGGATAAAAATACATATTTTATATGTTCTCGACAGAGTTAAAAATTACCCAATTTCAGTTATATACAAGAAAAGGCGGAACAATCAAAGCAACAGCAGAGAAAATAACCCAGAGGCGCCGACAAAGAAGGGGTTGCACGTACATATTTGAACATTTTGACTCAAACAGTTAAAACCAACCTTAGCTAGATAAACAAATAGCAAAACATTCGCATTTCGCTTACGAAGACAATATCCGAATTGCGAGTCTTGAATACACCTACTGCATATCCACAGAGCAGAAATTGAAGCCACACCTTACAAGAAAATAAAGCTACTTACTACGATAGCTGCAGAATTGAGTAATTTTTTAAGCGTCTACAATCGAAAAGTATACGAAATTATTTGGCATGCAAAAGTTGATTGAAAAACTACATATTTTATTGGTTATATATATATATAGATAGAGGTGTAGATGTAGTTGCTATTGTTGTTGTTGTTGGTGTGCCGTTAGAATAGTCAAAGAGAGACAGAGAGAGAAAGAGAGAGAGTGAGATACAATTGATAGATGGAGAAGCAGAGTTACAGGCGACAAGGCAGCAAGTAACGTGAAAAAAAGAGAAATCAACTAAAGAACACGACTAAAAACTAGACTCAAATACCAATAACAAAACAGATAACTAAATTTATTTAAATTGAATGGTGCCTACAAAATTGTGTTGTGCAAACCGAAATAAAATTATAGTTATTTGAATTAAATATTGTAATTATTATTAATATTGTTGTTGTTGTTGTGCATACAAATAGAGTGTTGTTGTGCAGAGTACAAAAGAAAAAAAGAGTGCAAACCAAATAGCTTCTTATAAAGTGAGAGAGAGAAAATAGTTTGTTTTTATTTTTAATTATTTTGTTTGTTTGCTGTAGTTGTAGTTGTTGTTTGTTAATTTTTTTTTGTAAACTTGTTGCATTTTGCTGTACCTGTTTCAAATATCCTCTTCATAAGCTCTTCTTTATTGCAGAAATCCTTACTACAACAGCTAATTCTATACGTATCGTATTTACTGCGACTCGAGAGGCATTCCAGCGGCTCGCGGTGCAATTCGTAACGTTTATCGAGGCAACTGTGCAGCGATATGGAAGATTTGTAAATATGCATGTATGTGTGTGTATTGTTTATTAGAGAGAGCAAGTCAGAGAGCAAGGGAAAACGGCATCGGCATCGAGCGAAACAAACAGACACAGACGGAGAGAGCGAGCGCAGAGAGCAGAAGGCAAAGAGTGCGCGCGTTGCAGATGTATTTTTTTTTTCGGTATTTTTTGTAAAGGTTTTTCGTTCGGTTGAAAGACATTAAAAAAGAAATAGAAAAAGAGTGAGAGAGAGAGATGGAACAAATTAGTAATAATTGTTGCTGTTGTTGGCCAGTTGCTAATTGAAACTCAGTCTGGTTAATAGCAATCAAAACAAAAAAAAAAAAAATATAAAGAAACAAAAAAAAACTTGAGTTGCCAGGAGCTTAACTCCCTGTTGTTGTTGTAGTTGCTGCTGTTGTTGTTGTTGTTGGTGGGTTTTAGTAGAGTGCTTTTTGGGTTAGGTTCACTTTCAAGTCGAACTCAACACGAGCATGTGAAGAAGAGACAGAGACAGAAAACGAAAACTAACTGGAACAAAGCAACTGGAACGAACGACGTGCGGTATTTATTTTTTTGTTTTGTTTTTGTTTTTTTCTGTTTGTTTTTTTTTTGGCAGTTAGACAGAGAGCAGCAGTTTAGAAAGATTGGACAGGGGGGCGGGGTGGAAGTTGGCGGGTGGCGGGATCAGTAATTGAATTGAATTCAACACGTGCACAGCAAATAGCGCACCTTCGTAGATAACCGCGGGCGAGGACGACGACGACAAGGATGATGACGAGGACGAGGACTCTTGGCCAGCCGTGTTGAGGGCATAGTACTTGATAACGGGTCGCAGCTGACGATTGCAATAGTCACGATCGTTGCAACACGCATGCCCGCCGCGACGGGCGGCTGGACGGGCTGTTGGCCCACCATGGCGACCCTCGTTGCACCAAATGAAGCGGCCCGGCGGGAAGCTCTGCGACATGTTGAGGCAGCTACGCGACACACAGTTTGCAACACACACCACAGTGGAGTAGGAATTTTCAAGTGTTCACAAGTGTAACAAATTGTTTTTTTTTTTTTTGTGGGATGTTGTAGCCCAATGCACTTGACAATAGTTTTGAGGAGAAATTGCATTTGAAACACTTACCGGAAACTGAAGATTATCTTGTTGTCGGTGTCCTTCTCCACAGAGGTGAAACAATAGCCATCCGTCTCGCATATGTGATTCGAATCCTTGCAGATATCGCAATGGCATTTGATCTTTTCTGCAAACGAAAGTGATTTTCATCATGAGAAATTGCTCAATAATCTCAGACGGAGAATAAGCTTAAACTACTAGTAATTTTCGACTGCTGACACGATAAATGATTTTGGAATGAATTTTCTTACTTTAAAAATGTTTTTCTTAATAATAGAAAATATTAAAAATTTTCGCAAGTCTTTCAAAATTTAATAAATAATCTATAATCTTGATATATTTCTAAACTATAGTATAAAAAAAATTTCTGAAATACTACTGTTATTGGTAAATAAATGCTTTATTTCTTTCAACTTCCCATAAGTTTCTGCCCAATTAGTTCGACTCGATCTTTAGTTGACATGCGTCGCTTTTGGGCCAATTAGCAAGTCGCTGACAGTCTCATTTAAAGTTTCATTAATCATAATTCGCTGCCTTATTGATTTTTTTCTTCAGCGATCGCAGACATTGTGGAGACGGAAGGTAGAGCTTAAGCATGCCATGCCCATGAGAAAGTGGGCGACAGCTCAGGTTTCGCGTTTCATAGAAAACAAACAACAACAAAAAACACACACAGACAGACACACACACACGCAGAAGAGGCCTTAAGCATAATAACAACAAAGCCGAACGACAAGAAGACAAGTGTAAAGCGGAAAGCATAAAGAACCCAGACGAAGTCAACGTCGCTGCCAACGTCGCTGCAGACGTTGCGCGCCAGTTTTGTTTAACTGCAGTTGCAAATGCAGTTGACTCGTTGTTGTTGTTGTTGTGGTTGCGGGGGTGGAACTGGAATTGCATGCAAATCTGCTGCAGTCAGTCAGTGAATGAGTGAGTGAGTCGGTGGAGTAGGGGAAAGGTAGAGGGGTGGGGGGTGTGGGTCTGAGGGGTCTGAGAGGTTTGTCTGCAGCACAGCGCATTGACATCGGCAGAGCGCGCGCTGACGTCACGCGACGAGACGTGTCAGAGACAGTTCAGTGCGGACAGACACAGAAACGGAGACTACCGGACAGACGAACGGACAGGCACACGGACAGGCGGTGGGCTCTCAACTCCATGGAGGTTGAGCTGCGACTTTTGAGGTGTGAAAGTCACGCGAGCCCCGCTTCTGAGCCGCATTTTGTCTGCTGTCCGACGTATGCTGAGACGACTACTCCTTGAAAACGGCCAAAGCGGGTATATATAGTCAACGTGCTTAAATTTTTAATTTTTGTACTTTTTTCGTGATTTTTGTGATTGAAAGTAGCGCTTAGAGATTCCATCATACCCGCATACAAATGATATTGAAATTCTATTCCATTTTCACTCATTCCGTTATTTCACTCTCACAATTACTCTCTCTGCGTTCCTCTCAGATATTATTCTCTTAAGCAGTGTATGACTCCTCCTTACGGAATGCATTCAGTATGAATGCAATGCAATTCATTACCTAGTAATACTCTTGTATGCATTTAATTATTATTATTATATTTAAAATTATTAAATATCCTAGAATAAGTCATAAAGTTATACGTATAGTATGTTCTCTATATTTTTAATATAGAAATATATAACTACATTTAAAAAACATATACTGCATATATCTATATTGGTATATTTGTTGTTGTGGTATGGATTCGGAGCTACACCACCTACAAGGTATAGAATACGAATCGAATTTGTAATGGGCTCATTTCGCTGCTGGGTATTTTACTCTCACATTTACTCTCTCTGAGTTACTCTTGGTACTACGTACTTGCTATTCCTCTTTCTGTCTTTACCTGCATTAAATTATGCAAAGTAAGCATTATGTAAAGTTAACAGCTGTTATCCACATTTATAAGCCCCGCTCTGTATCTCTATATATCGCTCTCTCTCTATTGCCCCTATATACAGGGTATCAAGCTGTCGCGCACACTCTGATCGAGCCCTACTGAGCTTGCGAACTTACTTTCGTGCTTCTTATTCTGCAGTGGCGCGTAAGTGGGCAACGACACTTGCAGCTGAGTGGCAGCTGCGACGGCGGCGGCAGCAGAGACGCCTACTGCAGATGAGCCAGCGCCAGTTGCGGACAATTGAATATTGACAGCACTGTTATTGTTGTTGCTGCTGTTGTTGTTGTTACTGTTGTTGTTGCTGTTATTATTAGTCGTATTGTTGTTGCCATGGCTGCTGTTATCAGCGTATGGCGGCGACGATTTAGTTAGATAATCGCCAGCTGTTTCATTTGTTGTTGTTGCTGCTATTGTTTTTGCTGTTGTTGTTGCGGCTTGCTGCAATTTGTGTGCAGCTTTTGGTGCAGCTTCATTTGTGGTATTTATGACAATTTCAATTGGCGAAGCTGCAATCGAAGAAGAACATACAACATTTAGGTTAGTTATGGGAACTGAAGGGAGAGTGGGGTTGGGAGGTGTTGACTATCGTGGCATAACACTTACCGCAGCCGAAATTGAGCAACGCCAGGATGCAAAGCAATTGCGGCCACATTTTGAATTTGAATTTGGTTTTTGGGGCTGCTTTTGTTCTTGTTATTGTTTTCGCTTTTCTTTTGTTTTTCGCGCACATACACAGAAACACACACACGCATACGCATACGCACATGCATACGCACGCATAAGCACACACGCAGGCACACACACACACGGAAGTGCGCTGGCTCAAAGTCTGTGTGGAGCTTTTGCTTATGTATTGGTGCTCCTTGTTGACGACGACGACGGCGACGACAAACAAGAACTATTTAAGGAAGGACGCCAGCAACAACAACGACGACAACGTCGACGTCGACTGCAGACGGCGGCAACTAATTTGCTTTGTATTGCGCATTTATTGTGTAGGACTCGGAGTCGGCCTCGCGCTCTGCTCGCTTGCCGCAGCGCGATTAAATATTGTTGTTGTGCACTGTTTTGGCACTATTTGCGGCCATTTGGCATTTTGTGTGCAGTTGGCACGCAGCATATTTTATTATTATGAAATGCACATAGAAATGAACAGAAAAATTCGTTCCCTTCTTGCAAAAATCCAATTAGAAAAATTCATTCCCCTCCCACTTTTATGGATAGGTTTTCAATCGTATTTTCATCACGTGAGTTTGGCACTTGCGCGGCTTGTTTTGCAACTGCAACTTATTTACAATGATGCCCAGCACTTTGTATTTTACGATGCACGTTTGTGTTTGCTTTAATTTTTGTTATTTACTTGTTATATATGCAATTTTGCTTAACGAAATCAACGGAAAACTTGTCTCTGTGCGAATGCTTTGCGAAAGATGTAAACAGTGTGGCCGTTCTTAATTAGGCTAGATATGCTGAAACTAGCAAAAAATAAATACTAACCATACGGCGTTGCCACCCAGCGAACGACCAGTGCTACCACAAACACATTTAACGAAACTGAACGCAAATTTCGCTCCTTTTTATTATTTTAAATACATTTGCGTCAAGAATGCATTTGTACGAATCATAAATTTTTGACTGTTGGTTTAACATAAATTTATTTATTCATAACTGTTCCTATTGTGACATCGCCAAGAAGTCAACGTCAAAATAATTTGTCAATTTAATGCTCCTTATTGCCACAAGAGGCTCAGAATCGACAGTGGTGGCATGCCGGGTTCTGCACCCTTTGAGAATCCTATTAGAATACAAAATGAATGATAAAAATTTTCAGCGCTGCTGCTTCTTCTTGCCACACGTGCTGTGAGGCAGACTCACCTAAATAGAGGACCATTGGTACAAAGCCCCAGTGGAATGTGGTTTGAACGAGGTCCACAACGACTCCCAAACGCTCTTTAGCACCCTCGGAAAGAACCATTTCTTTTTTGTTTCTGATGTGAAATGCGAAAATCGAATGTTCCGTATTATGAAATATGCCTTTGAAGCGAGTTGCTGACTGAGAGAAACCAAGTGTTGGTAAACGTGTGTTTCTGTGCAAATAAGATATATGTATGTATCGTTTACACAGCTGTTCAAAAAAAAATTAAACAAAATTTTATAAGTTGATGGGGACTAATTTTTATTCTAGCAGCATATAATACAATGCCTGCCTTTCTCGAAAAATATATAAATTATACATGTTAACTACATTACCAGTCACCTTGGTATATTGCAAGAGAATGTAGCCTAAAAGGTAAACAAAGCAACAGCATTGCCAGATATCACAATGAAATCGCATGTTCTGCCTAGAGATGGGCGCGTGTTGAATTGTGTTACTTCAGCACAAATACTAAAAAATATATCTTTAATTAATCAATATTTCAAAAGCTTTTGAATGCCATTTGCAAAGGACAAGTATATCTTGCAAAGGACAAGTATATCTTGGCATATTTTCACAATGCACTTCGTGATTCGTGCTGATTCGTGTTTCGTCTTTGTCTCCCGCGGACACGCACTCCGCCCTAGTTCTTTTCCACTGCAGCCCTGTCAGACGGTGTCAGCTGCACGCTAGAGAATTTTATTTGCTTTTTATTTGTTAACGCATTTAAATATTTTCAACGCAGAACACTCGGAACTGCATAATAGAGGAGACGTCGACGGACGGAGCAACGCAAAAATACTTTAAATTAACTCACACACACAAAGTAAGTGATTAGAAATTATCGGTGACTTTCACGCTGACATTTCCAACACACAAAAGAAATGAAAAGAGTGAAAAATCAATTTCGTATTATGTAAGGTCTGCTAAAAAACCGAAAATTGTTTGCGTTTACAGATTAAAATTGCTGCAACGGACCATGAAAACAACTAATGTCGCATTGTACGCATTTCGTTTAACCTTCAGTCAGGTGAGCAATTCGCACTCAAATCGAGGAAACAAAAAGTGATTGCAAAAAAATGCAAATTAAGCGGAAATTAGAGAAAACCTAAAATTTCCCAAGCACGTTTCGGAAAGTCCCACACACACACTAGACAAACACACACACACCCACAACAATGGAGCTCAAAGTGGGCGATTTGTGCGAGGAATGCTTGCAGCGGGGCTTAAATCACAAGCTGCGCTATTTCTACGTAAGCATGGAGGATCAGCTGCTCAAGTGTGAATCCCACCAGTGCCTCTGGCCACACAATGATCTCGTCTCCTCCTCCGACGACGAAGAAGAACAAGAGGAGGATGTCAATAGTGATGCAGATGACTTTATAAAGACCCTGATCCAACAGCTAGGACCAAAAACGGACCTAGCTTCAGATTGCTACAGTGAATCTCTACCGGATTTAGGCCAGTCCAGCTCGAATAACCAAAATCCTCCTGCCTGGAACAGTATTGACGAAAAGCAAACTGATCAACTTGAAACTGCAATCGCAACAGTAAAAAATTCCATGGCAGGTTTTCTGACTGAATCCAGCTGCAAAACGGAAGTCTTAAGCGGGAATCCCAAAGAGGAATCGCCCAGCTGTAAAGTGCAGCAAGCTGCACGAAGCCCAGGAAATAGTCAACAAGAAGCAGCAACAACTACTTGCCACATACCCTTCACCATTTCCATAGGAGATGCAGTGCTGTATTCCCAAACGGAGCAAGTTGCTCCAAATCCAGAGAATAAGCAACAAGTTGCAGCAGCAACAATTTGCGAATCCGGCAACATTCCCTACACCAGTACCACAGGCAATGTACAAATAAAGACTGACGACGCACCCAAGCCGAATCCCTTCCAGCTGATGCCTAAAAAGGCATCGATTGCTGTGCGCAAACAACTGACAGCATCCGCACCCGCACCTGCACCCGCATCCGCATCTGCAACAGCATCCTCTAAAGCCTTCAGCCAGGAGTTTCTCAATGCGTTGAAGCGTTCGCCGGAAAAGCCGAGCATTCGTCGTCGGGCAAGTCAGGGACGCACGCGGCGCCCGAGTGCTGCGTCCGAAGGCGGAGGTGTCTCTCGACCAGCAGGTGCCCAGCTGAGCACGCTGATGGTGAAGCAGACGATGGAACGCATCGAAGCTGCCAGCAGAGAGAAGATGAAGATCGAAACGGAACTAAATAATAAACGATGCCAATTCTAATCGGAAACACTTTGGAATTGTTTGGGTATTTTTTTTTACATATAATTTCGAAATAAATTCGCATATGTATCAAAAATTTGCTGGTGCGCAGAATGAAAACAAATGCGGTTTATTTATAAAAAAAAAAACAAAAATGAAATATATTATGTATTTTTGTGAGCGGCACGCGTCCAGCGCATGATGAGCAATGGTCGAATGAACTCACAAAAGAACGAGCAAAATGACAGAGCGAGAGAGAGAGAGATGATGGCCTCGTATCAAGAGTTGGTGTGCGTCAGAGAAAGGAGATGCGCAGATCACAGATCTATCGCCGAAGGAGAGCGAAAAGGGAACACGGGTCAAAGCAAGTGGATCAAGATAAGCTGTGAATTTATGTCAACTGAGCACAGTGTGGCCAGCAGCATTTAAAATGCGCTAAATTCCTTAAGGACTTGATGCGTAAATGTCATATCATTGTCTATCTGAAATTTTACAATTACATTTTTTGTGTTGTGACAAAATTGAAAACTGCGTGAGTAAAATTTTAAGCATTTCCAGTTCAATATTATATTATTAAAATCAATAATAATAATTCAACAAATTATTGATGGTAAAAAAGCAGAAGCTGAACATTAGACTCTAATCCTATTAAGATTGTGTCACGTATCAAGGAATTATACTTATGAATGAATCGTTTAACCAGAAGATCCGGCCCACTGTGCTAAATTGACGTCACACGCCGCGCGTTTCCAAGTTTTTGCGCCGTTATCATGTTCATTGGAATGCCAATTTTGATTAGTCTAATTGGACAGACAACAACAACAACAATAAAACCACCTTAACAAATACAGTTAAGAAATGGGAAACGTTTGACGGCCAATATTATGAAATATATACACACAAGCACACATATTTATACATTGGGTGTTACAAGTTCAACAACATTGCGAATACTTGATACGAAGTGATAATTTGTTAATCAGTTGAATGAACGTGGGAATTGTGTGTGGCGTTTGTGTTTGTTAAGTGTGTGTTGCGATTTTAGCAGTCAATTGAACTGACGTCATTTCGTTGCCAGTTGCCAAATTGAACACTGCGCAGTAGAAACCAGAAGCCGGCAAACGGACATTTGGGCCATTGGCCAACAAAATGCTGCCCATTTGCCAATTTAAAAATAGACCAGTCTAATAGACTGATAAGGCGCCACCGTTGCGCTTACCTGTTTTCGCAATATTAAATTTTATTATTTTTGTTATCTATTTTGCAGGCACCGCCGCTGTCCGCGCAGGCCTCGACGCACAGCAGCCATGCGTTTAGTGGCCGCTCGTCGTCGTCGCCCAATCGGGTGGTGACCCGCTCCGCAACTATGTTGGCCGTGTTCGGGATTGCCCTCTCCTCGTTTAGCCTGAAGCAGCTATTGGCCAACAAGAACACCAAGCACAATGCTCTGCGCAAGCTTTAAAGCCAAACAAGACGACAACGTTGACTAGGAGCCATTTGGAGCCATGTCCTGTGTAGATGCCACACATTCTCAGTTCCCTCATTCTCAGTTCTCTCATTCTCATTCCCATTCTCATCGTAGTGTATATTTGTTTTAAGTTAAGTCATCAGCCAAAAAAAAAATGCACTCACAGAACACAGCACAGAAAGGCATGGCTCGAGGGAGGGAGAGCAGAAGAGATGGAATGGAATCCTAAACACAATACATATTTTGAGAAGTGTATCTATTTAATATGTGTATATATTTTCTTGTTCACACACACAGACACACACACACATGAATGCAACGGTTGCGCAATGCCAACAAAAAAGGAATACAAATTGTGATAGTTAATTGTGTACTAATGATCATAATGATGATGATACTAATACTGTTGAAGATGATGATGGAGTTATAATTGAAGAGCATCCTAAGTTGGCGTTATGTCTCTTTAGTTTTATATATATGTGTTAACAAGTCGCAATATATACATATATAAATATATGTACAAGAATATATATATATATATTTTTAGTTATTCAAATTCTAAATTTAAACATGCAAAGAAACGACTAAGTTGAAATTCATTATTATCATTATAATAACAAAAGCAAACGTGGGATAGTAAATGTTGCCAAACTATGGGCTGCAATTGTGCGCAGCAGTATCCAACAAATGTATTAGTTTTAATTAAATCAAATACGATTTTAAATAAAAGCATTATCAAAATTAGTCCTTGTCTGCTTTAATTCTTAAACTTATTATTATCATCAGAACACTTTAACTATAACAGTTTCCATATTAAATACGGCTAATCTAATATTTCACTTATAAAGCACTTTATAAATTACTTTCATAAAAAGGCACTCTAATTCGAAATGATATTAATAAAAAACACAGCCAGACACAGTCAGTTGCTGACGTAATTATGATCCAAATGCGTTATATCTATAATCTCTATAAATTCACAGCCCACCAGCTGCTCCACCTGCTCAGTCTGCTCTTCATTATCCACGTGCTCAACAACGTGGTCCTTCTCCTCCTCCTCCTCCTCCAGCTGCAGCTGCAGTCGCTCCGTGGCATCCCAGTGCTGGAGTGTCCGCTGCGATGGTAGTGGATAGCGCCGCTGGAGCAACATGTTGTAAACAGGTGGACAGTTCGCATATAGCTCGTAAGACTCCCTCAGATCTCGCTGGGGCCAAACAATGCGTTTGCCACTCTGCAACTTTTGTATTTGGGCCGTCGAAAAGGTGGTCCTCAGATGATTAAACAATTGGTCATATCGCTCATTGGACTTGGACAATTGCTCTTGCAGCTTGCTTATGGTCGCCACATCCTTCTCTGCGGTGATCTTCATTTTGAAATTCTCACGCCTCAGAGTCGTACTGCAACAACGCAATTGGAATTCAGTTTCTATTTAAATAAATATCTATCAGGAATACAAACTTTTCATCCTCTAACTCTGTGAGGTAGTCCTCGGCATCGACCATCACCTGCACGATTTCCTCAGCTGGCTGGCTGGCATCTGTGTCATCATCAGCGATTTCATCCTGTGCCTGATCTTCATCGTATTCCGTTAGAAGCGCATCCACAATTTGTTTCCGCTTCGCTTTATCTGCCCACGTTTCTGTTGGCTGATCCTCGTCGTAATCCCGATCAATGCCATCGCTGATGTTTTGGTGCACGCTGGGCACAGAGCCGGGCTTCAGTTTTAGTGGGCGTGGCTTGCTGTAGACGCCCAGCTCGTAGGGCAAATCCCTTTCAAAGTCGCCGGCCTGAAAGTGATCCACGCATATCTTTTCCAATTTTGTGTCTATTGTGTCTGGGCGCCGGCAGAAGCGCACCCATTTAGCACATAATTTGGCATCTTGGGGAAATGAAAAGTAACGGTTTCGAGATTTTGGCTTTGTACAATCTGCAACAGCGCAAGTCATTTTCAAACGGACCTTTAAAGCCAAATTCAATCAAAAGGAGCAAAACTGACGTCACTTAAGTGAACGAGTCTTGTACAATGCACAAATCAACTAGTTCCCTTTAAGACTGCTTATCGAACTAGTTGCTCGAAAAGGAACTATTAAACTAAATCGGAAATAGGAAATGACAATTAACATTAAATTAATGAATAGAAAATGCGAGCACTATTTTTGGCATTTATATTAATAAACAAATTAATATGTAAACAATTTTAAATTATATATACAACTTTACTGATTCGTACGTGAACGAAACTTTTGAACCACAACCTGCCATCACTTGCTGAGCAGTGTTGCAAAAGATGCGCGTGTGGCACATCAAAAACATATGAAAAAAAGTAAGTCATACAAATAAATGGGTGACGTGCCTGGTGCCAACTCGGAATATTATTGTTATTTGTAAACTGAAGAAGGAAAAAAGGGTAAAAGCCCAGAAGTTGGCAACAAATGCGCTAAGTAGAGCAGCAGCACTAGCAGCCACAGCAGCTGGAAGCAAAAGCAAACACCAAAAACAAACAACAAAAAAAACAACAAAATAATGGGCATAAACGTCAGCAGAAATGCCGACTTGGCGTCAAATGAATGGCTTCAGCGTTTTGTGGGGCGCCACCACATAGCGCACGATGACGAGGCCTACTGGAACGGACTGCTCAACTACAACATTGTGATGCCGGAGAACAGGTAGGCAATAATTAACAACAAATACGTCAGCAAAGTGGATAGTTAACAATATTCATTTATAGCCAGGATCAGCTCAGCTTGGACTCGCGCTTGGAGACGCTGTGTCAATCGTTTATTGGCCACAATCTGAAGACGGGCAATTTTGGCTCGCTGGTGACAGTATTTCTGGAGAAGGCGTCGGAACTGCTGTCGCTTTCCGATCAGGAGAGCAACATGCATGTGTGGCAAACGTTCAATGCACTCTTCATCATACGCACCCTGATCAAATACATCAATGAGACGGGCTCCGAGTTTCAGCTGCTGCAGCATTTCGAGGCAATGCCCAGCGCCGAGCTGCTCAAAGCAGCAGAGGAACAGCAGCAGCACCAGCCACCGGAAATGGCGAGCATTGCCATTGAGGCCAGCGAACATCAGACGCCGCTGGCAGCTATCATTGTGGATGGGGCCAAGTTTGAGACGTTCATCGATGCGCTGGTCAATCTGATTGTCGTCATACCCGTCAAGGAGTTTACCTACCATCTGCATCTGGAGTCGGTCAATACGCTGATCACGCTGCTCTCCGTGCATCTCTTCGCCCAGCAGCTGCAGCACCAGCAGCAGCAGCCGCAGCCGCCGCCCACAGATAAATCGATTGTCTTTCGCACCATTTACAAGTGCCAGCATGCGAATGTGCTGATGTCGGCGCTGCTGCATTTTGTGGCACGCATGGTCGAGGTACCGCACACCATGTTCGGCTCCACTTCGGCGGGCTCTTTTGTCTTCGGCATTGCGGAATCGCTGCTCTCGATTCTGACGTTTCGCAAGCAGCAGGATGTGCTGAAGACGAGCAACGCCACCGGCGAGGAACTGTCGCAGCAGTTTCGCAACCATTATCCGTTGGCCAATCAAAGTCTGCTGCTCATCCTGATATTGACTAATCATTGCACCGCTCAGGATAATGCATACCGGGCGAGCTTGTTTGGTTGCGCCGATTCCAAGGACTCGCCCAAACAAGCCAACGGCGCCGTCTCCTTTCAGATCGACTTCTCCGCCGTCTACGAGACGCTGTGTCGCATTGTGACCATCGATCAGGCGACGCTGCTGCTCTACCTGCTGCTGCATCGGAACGAGCGCTTCTATCGGTTCGTGATGCAACAGCCGGATCTGGAACAACTGGTCATACCCATTCTGCAGACGCTGTACAATGCGCCCGACAGCAATTCCCATCACATCTACATGTCGCTCATCGTCCTGCTCATCCTCAGCGAGGACGAGGGCTTCAACAAGAATGTGCACACAATCGTAAGTTCGCTTGCTATTCTCATATATAGCATAAATATATATATATCAATAAAATGCTTGCCTTTGCAGCTGCTGAAGAACATCAGTTGGTATACGGAGCGCACGATATCGGAGATATCGCTGGGCGGTATCCTGATACTGATCGTCATACGGACCATTCAGTACAACATGCTGAAGATGCGCGACAAGTATCTGCACACCAATTGCCTGGCTGCACTGGCCAACATGTCCGGCCACTTCCGTGCCCTGCACCCGTATGTGGCACAGCGTCTAGTGTCGCTCTTTGAGACGCTGGCGCGCAAGCATACGCGGTTGGATGCCCAGCTCAAGGAGCCGGCGGATAGTGCAGTGTTTGTGAATGTATCGACGACGCCCGAGGACATGATGCAGGATCTGACTGTACTGGAGGAGGTGCTGCGCATGGTACTGGAAATCCTAAACTCCTGCCTAACGAATCAACTTGTCTACTGTCCCAATTTGGTCTATACGCTTCTCTACAAGCGCAGCGTCTTCGAGGGCTTCCGCAGTCATCATGCGTTCCAGGATGTCATACAAAACATTGATATGGTGCGTATGCCATATATATATATATATCTATATATAATCGATATGATTTGTGCCGCAGGTGGTTGGTTTCTTCTCGTCGCGACTGCAGCGCGTGCAGGAGCAGCGTGGCGAGCTGGGTGTCAATGAGGTGCTCGAGGTGATATCAAAAGGTGCCAGCCAATGGTCCAGCGATCGCCTGCGGGTAAGTCCCATCCAATACCATTCAGATTTGTTAATAAGAATCGATTTACATTGCAGAAATTCCCCGATCTGAAGTTTAAATATGTTGAGGAGGATGCGCCCGAGGAGTTCTTCATTCCATATGTGTGGACGTTGGTCTGTAAATACGGCTGCGTCCATTTCAGCTCCGAGAGCATTAAGAGCATTACTACGGATATTGCCTGCTAATATTAGCCACACCCTCCCCCACCCCCGACGCCCTACCGGCCACCTTTCTTCTGCTCCTCGCTGGAAACGATTTGCTTTTTTTCCCCTTTCACCTAATCCACTAGAATTGAAGCCAAAATGGTCAAAAACATAAGCAGCAATTATAGCAAACGTTGACGTGTTACTGATATCCACATATAAATCGATGAGCTAATTTTAATACCTTAAACTAGGCTGCAGAGCAAAACAGTTAAGATTAAACGCAATACATAATAGAATATCATATTTTGCTACCGCTAAGTAACAAATCAAAGTTGAGGAAAAGTTAAGCTCCAAATGCCTATCAAACGATTATACTAATCAACAAAGACAACAAAATCGATAATATATATAAAAACATATATATATATATAATAAATTAAAGCAAATTAATATATATATATCAATAAATATATATATATATATATTTACATTGTGTATGTTAGTTATAATAATTATATTATTGTATTTAGCAACTGAAAAAGATCGATAAATTAAACGGCAATTAAAGTTGATGAAATTGCCAAGTATTTTTCCACTCTATTTAGATATGGGTGTCGAAGATAATTAAGTTAATATTGTTAATATTCCTATCAGTTGTACTTACCCCAAGATAAAACCCCTACGCTTGTTGCTGGGGGCTTTTTTGTTTCTCATTTTTTCTTTATCTTGAAAGTATCACGTTTAGTTGCTTACTAAATATGTATTTAGGGGGGCTTTTGAGCATACAGGAAACTTACTTGCAATAACCTGTGTGCCTATTTACGACTCATTATGCATATTTGTACAATCAGCAGTAGTAAATAACAATGCATTCGTCATGTTTATTTACATGTTTTTCTCCCAATATCCACAATGGCCACATTAAACAAGCCATCAAATAACGCCGCTGACGTTGAAATACTCTTGCAAACGTGCAAACTTTGTTAAATGTTTTCAAAACAAGTTGCAAACAAACGATCTCAAACATAATCTCTTCAAAGAAATCGTTATTTTTAGGCAAATTCAAAAGCAGTCAAATATTGCGTTACACAACACTTGTCCGAACGGGGTAATTCCTCTGACAGGGTATTTTAAGGAACTTTTACGGCCAGCGTAAAAAGTTCGTTGACTTTTCGTAGTTGTCGTTGTCATCACTTAAACATAGACACAAACCCGCCCGCTTTGTGGTCGGATGACTTTAGTTTTTATTGTTGTTGTATAATTATTTGCTGCACTTTTTGCTGCTGTTGTTTGTTGTTGCAGTTTTGTGGCCACTACGTGCCTACAATAAATTAATTTCAACAGCAAAAAACATAAAGCAAAAACGCATTTGCTACTGCTGCTGTTGTTGTTGTTATTGTACAAGGCGGAAAATTTGTTATTGTGCATTTTCTTAGTTTATTTTTTTCGCCGGTTTACGCTTAGCGCATTTTAATTAATTTTCCTCTACCTTTTTTTTAAATTTGCTGCTTGTTTGGCCATTTTGCAGGTTAAAACAGTTTATTGACTTCTGTCGCCCGCATTGCCAATTGCCAAATGCCAATTGGCAATTGCCAATCAGAAATTCGAATAGCTGGCAACATTTCTTGCCCAATTCGCCACATAGAATTCGCTAGAAGCTTAGCAAAGTTCGCAACCCAATTGCGAAAACAAAAAAAAAACAAACTGCACAAAAGTCGTTGCGCATGCGCAAGTTGAAAAAAAAAGAAAAAACAAAATGAAAACAGTAAACGTTTATTAAGCTAAGCTGAGCCGAGCTTGGTTGGACTCGAACTGAACTGGGCACAAAACGTGAGCACGCCAAATATGCTCGATGCGGGGCCTGGGCCGGGGCCGGGTTGGGGGCCCCTCTCTTTTTTTTGGCGGCACTAAATTACAAATTATTGTGCAAAGTGCGCAGCATTGTGAATTAAAACAAGCAACAACAACAACAAAAACAATATTATGACATAAATATTGGCGAAACAAAATAATAGCAGAGCATATATATATGTATGTATCTATATATATATATATGTATATATATCCAAATACAGCGCCCGCATTTTGGCTGTTTTTGAGTCGGGCTCAAGTGTTGCCAGTTCGAATTTGGCTTTTTTTTATAAAACTTTATACTTAGCGGCCAAGTGTAGAAAATGTTTTTTTAATTGTACTAAAACTGCATGCAAGTTGTTGAAGTCATTAATCGAACCCGCGAATTGGCAACAATCTAATCTAAGCCTATTGGCCTTAAATTAATTATTAACGATATATGCGAAAATTAATGGGATATATGCGTAATTTCTATATCTACAAAGTATCCATAACAGACCATAGAAAATAGCTTTATTTAATTGTAAAATCAGCTTAGTTCTGGTAGTAGTTTTCGTATCAGATAAGCGGATCAAGAGAGTTCCTGGTGTACCTATACAGTTATAGTATATATATAGTTAGTTAGTCTTGTTCTTTCTAGAAATAATTTTTTCGGTTTCAGTTTTCTGCTATTGGCTTTGCTATTGCTATGTCAAATTTCGTAGCGGAAGCAAGAGCAAAATGAAAGACTGCGAAGGAAAGTAGCATTTTTAATCAAAATCATTTGAGTTGAATAGTTAACTAGATGCTATTAGCTATTGATGATTATCTTGTTTTTAAATTGATTTTTTCATTGGCATTCTTCGCCCATAAGTTATTGATGATTATCTAGTTTATAAGTTGGCTTCATTCCGTGCATTCTTCGCGCTTGAGACGGCCGTTTTGCAGCTCAACTTGGCAACACTGATCTGCTGGGCGTTGTGCTTATGACTGTAACTGGACCTGTGCCTCTTGTCTATAGGTCATTGATCCAAACAGTTGTAAACAGCTAAACAAAACATATGTATGCATGTAGGCATGTATATATGTATGGCAAAATGCCCGCACATTCATTTGTCTTGGCCCGCAGCCAGTTCAAAAATAGAGCCAGCTCTGAGGTTTGCCCTCGCTTTCGGTTTCGCCTCAAAGGCTTTGAGACTTAGACGGGGTATTTGGATAAATTATGTTTACTGCCAATCGATTTGAGATAAATTCGCACCTCTCCACTGTTTATGTTTATGTTTATTATTATTATTCATGGTCCGGTTTGACGTTTGCCATCACATAAACATAAAATGCTCTCCTCAGACGTATGACGTCTTGTAGTGGTTTACCTAGACCCAACTAGGCATCCATTGACGTTGTCTGTCCATTCATCATTGGACTCCATTGTCTGACCTTTGCAGCTATTGATCTGCTTTATTTACAATCGTTTTGTATAATTGTTGTTGTTGTTGTTGCTATAGTTGTTGTGGCTGCTGTTCGCCGATATTCGCATGAATGTCCAGTGTTATGAGAAATAACTCAACGGCATACGACTTGGGCCATTTCCAAGTGAAATCTTTGAAAGTTGCACTGGGACTGGTCTTTATTTTGTACATATGTACATATAATTGTTGTTGTTTTCCTTCATTTTTTAGCCTAGCTTCAGGCCATGCTAGAAATGAATCAAAAGCATTTGTTATTTTTTCTTCTTTTAAGTAGGCTTCGTTAATGATCTCAACATAAACAACTTGAAAACCATTTAAGTTGCTCAACTGATCTAATTATAGGTCAAAATTGCTGACTTTTTATTTGTTTATGTAGTTAAGGATTAGCTGCTAGCTAAATAATATATATTAGGCTAAATTAGTTTAGACTTAAATACTCGGCTACTAATTCAAGCTCATTGATTGCAGCTGGTTTTATGCTCGAAGTTTCTGTTGCTAGAAAAATAGTTTTTGTAGCTAACAAATTTGCTAGATTAACTGTTTGACTACGAAATAAACTTAAATATTGAATAAATTTGTCTGTCAGCTAGTAAACTTAAATATCGGAAGAAATATCAAGTTTCTTAAAATTTGTAGTCTTTGTGAATCTAACACAATTTTAGATCGATTTAAAAAGGGACTTGACAATTTTGATAGGATATCTTTTTTTTATTATTTATTTATTTAATGTGGACTTAAAATATTCAGTAATTTTAAAGAAAGGTTTAGCTAAATAAAAATTTTCAATTAGTCACATTAAATTATATAAAATTAAATTAAATAAAGGGAAGTTAATATGTTGTAAATTAAATTCATATGTAAATGTATATGAACAAATTAATAAGCGATACCCAATTTGCAAGTTAATTATTTTTATTTCTTTTCGACCATCATAATATATATATATATATATATATATATAACACCATTATTAAACTAAAATTATGTTTGAATGATTTTATATGTGGCTGTAGACTTCAGCTTTTTTCCAGATTTTTTCCTTGTAAACTTGGCTAAATATCCATGTAAATATTCATGTAAAAGTTGCAAGAACATATAATATATATCAAAATATATTTGAGAACTTTTTCTTCAACAGAGCTAAAAAGAAAACCCAAATATAAATTTGAGAAATGTGTAGATCAAATAAATACGCACAGAATTTGCTTTTCATTTTTGTTTTTCTTTTACAAAATTATTTTGTATGCTTTATTTCATCATGAATATATATATCACAATAACTTAAGAACTAGGAGAGTGTTGAACACATTTTTGAAGAACACATAAAATTGTTTGGGGGGTGCAAATATAAATGAAGCATGAAATTACTTACAACTAAAAGAATCTGTATAAATATTAAGACAAATATTGAAAGACAGTTGCTTAATGGGATCAAATATATATATGTGTGTATGTTTATATATATGTATATGTGTGTGTGTGTGAGTGTGTGTTAAAAGTAAATGCTGCCTTTAGTTCGCTAAAGGCAGGCGCCTTTGGCAACGCCGGCCAATCGGAAACGGAAACGCCGACCAGCAGTACTCCCCTTACTTCTCTCTCTCTCTCTCTCTCTCTATTTCTCTCGAGAGTGCTCGTTCTCTCACATGCCCTCGCAGGTGGCCATGCAGGATTTGTAGCTAGAGAAGTTGTTCTCGTTGCCATCGCAGCCGCCGAACTTGAACTCGACGCACTTCTTCAGCTCCGGATCGTAGCGCCAGCGTGGTATCAATGCCCGGCAGACGCCCTTGCGTGCCGGCATCATGCAGAACTGCTCCGGATGTGTGTTGCGACCCGTGTTGGCAACATCGTCCAGTGAGATGGCATCAAAGAAATCGCTCACATCATCGTACAGATCCATGGGACGTGCCTCACACGTTGCCGCCACAAGCAGCAGCAGCAGCAGCGTCACTGCTCCAATTACTTTCAGTTGACTCGGCGCACACATTGTGGTCTCCACTCTGCACTTTTACTTGTATTTGCACTTGCTCTGACGCGAGACGGGGGTGGCAACAATAATTGGTAAGTCTTCTTACTGATTTCTCTCACTTGCTCGTTTGGCTCTTCACCGTTCGACTGCCTACTGGCTACTGATTGCATTACAAGCCTCGCATTTGGTTTTATACCACGAACGTGACGTGACTTGTGACTCGCACAACTTCGATCGCTGGCCACAATTGGCTTAACGAGGCCTATGCTCTCTTTTTCTCTCTCTCTCTCTCTCCGTCAGTCTCTCTTTTAGCTTACTCTTAAGCTTATGTATTTAGAGTTGCCAGATCAGTTGAATTCATAAACTTCAAGCTTCAAACTTAGGGTAACTTTTATTTTAATTCTGTCTGTAGGTCAAGTGACTTATTCTTAGTAATTTATATATTGTGAAAATTGATTTAATTTGTTGCATACAAATTTGATAAGCTGCTCAGGTTTTTATAAAAAATAAAGTTGCTTGAAAGGCAAAAGGTTGCATATCTCTATCTTGTGCAGAATCAACGACTGATTCTAGCCTTGCCCACCTGTTCACCTGTATAAACACGCTGATCTCGGAGACTATTGCAGCTAGCGACAAACCCTGAATAGATATCAATAAAAGCCACATTTGTGGATATTAACCCTATCTAGTTTTATATATATATAAATGTCTTTAAATATATTTTCACATTAAGCAAACTATATTTAACAAGTATTTAATAGCAGGGTTCAGGTAACTCCTTCGAGCTCTCTCGACTAGAACTTTCTAACTTGTTTATTCGTGGCTAGAAAAGAGTGAACCACTTGCTGCGTTCAAAGTATTACTGGGATAATAAAATAAACAATTTTATTGCTGTTGACTCATTTGAGACTTGTCTGTCTGTCTCTTGGCCAGATATAGAGGGGAAGCTGGGGAACGAGCAGTGGAAAGCAACAGTCAGCGCCCAGCGGCATTAATTTGTGCAATTGCCTTCGATGCTCACCGCACGCGGACCGCTAAGGTAACGCGCATGGATGCGGATAAGGGGATGGGGATGGGTTGGGTTTTGGGTGTTGGATGTTGGGGGGAGAAGTGTGAGTGCGGGTGTATGAAATAAGGAAGCACGAGTCGCATTTGTAGCTGGCTGGCTGATGTTGCGTCTTCGTTGCTTTTGTGGCCATGATAAAAATTGCATGAGCTTGCACTTGGAATTTTATGCTTGCTGCAAGTTGGCCCGAACGGCAGACGTTCCCAAGTTGCAGTCAAATTTTCATTTTTCCGCTCACGTATTTCGATTAAATTCTCATTTTGGTCATAATTTTGCCGTTTTTACGTTTGCCCTGGCATTAAATTGCAACATTTCCCATCTCTCACTCTGTTGTTTCTTTCACACCATTCTCGCTGTCTCTCTTTCTCTCTCTGTCTCTCACTCTCTCTCTCTCTCTCTTGTGTATTACTTTTTATCACTCTCTAGTTTAGCTGCGTTCTTTATGTGCGTATTGAAATCATCAAGTCAGGGCCCGTTGTACATTTCGCAAATTAAAAGTTTGTTTTTGTTTGCCAGTTAACTTGGCTAATGCTCGCCTGACACTGCAAGTAACGGTAGGGCAGGTGAAGGAAAGGGGGAAGTGCGCTTGTTCGATTGTTTCGACTTATTGTTTTTGCCCACATACATACACATAAATCAATTTGGCTCGCGCGACATTCACTGGCTGGTTAGTTGGCAAGTTTTATGATTGCCGCATAAATCCGTTAACAAAGCCCAAAGCACCTGATACCCAAACCGATGTGCGCTTCTCGACGCTCTCAGCGCTCTCAGCCCCGGCGCTTGGCTAATTTGCGCTCGGCACGCACACATTGGCACGTCACATTGGCAAATTCCCCATGAGCATTGAACAGTTGGCAGGAGCTGAACGCAGGAGCTGATACTGGAGCAGCCGCTTCTAAAGCTTAGCAATAAACTTTTGTTATGTGCGGGTAATAAATTGAAAAATAGTGCGCGCAATTGCACAGACACACACACCTACCAATACACACATATATATATAAAAATATAACTATATAATACAATCGCAGTCAACTGTTGCACATTTCTACAGTGGAGAAGGCAAAATGCATTTGCTTTGCTCGAACAACTGATTCTTTTGCAGCCTAGCGGTATGCAACAGCAGCAACTGCAAAAATGCTGCATACTTTTAGGATGCAGTATAAAGTTTGCCAGCTTGTGTCAAAACTGAGCAGGAACCCAACGAGTTGCTTAGTTTTGAATAATAGTTTCACTCAGAGTAAGCATATAAATCTCAAAATTGTTTGTATTACGACCTTGTTCTTTCCTTCTCAGTGAATCACAACTTTTTCAAGCAGCCCTCAATTTATTTACATTTTCGCATTTTCAAAGCATACTTTTGGAGCATGCTAAATTAACAAAACCAAAACTTTTATTGAAATGACAGGCAATGTAAAAGATTTGTATATGAAAATGCTACAGTATTGATTAACATTAATCTCATTTAAGCACTAGCAATGAAATTACAATGAAACTGGCTTAAATTACTTAAACCATAATCCATGTGTGCTCACATCAAAAATGCAATCTGTCTGCCTATTCTATGCAAAATCCTAAGCCAATAAAATCGAACAACGTTGCAGGGAATACATCATATTCGAATAATTTTGCTGCCGTAATGTAATTAAATTACTTAGCCATAGCGCTCGAGAGTACAAAATGCAGTGTGAAAATCCTTTTAAAAGGCCATAAACGTGCAATATCAACGATGCCAATATCCTGGGCAACAGAGAACGCAGAGAACCAGTGCCCGCCCCACCATACCCTTGGGCCATGACTCCGTTGAGCATATTTCCAGCCAAAAGCCACCGCAATAACCGCTGTCAATATGCGGATTAACGCATCAATTACATGACCAGGCACGGCCACTGTTGCAGCCCCGGAGCAGGATATCGTGTTTATTAAATTTACTCGTGTGTGTGTGTGTGAGCCTCTGTGTGTGTGAGTCTGTGTGTATGGTTGAGTGTGTGGGAAAAAAGTTACAGACTGTTGCATGCGTGGCGCGTTAGCCGGCAAAAATGTCATTTGCGCAGTAATTTAATTAATTGCAAATTGTGCAATCAGGCTCAGTCTGCCAAAAAATAAAACAGTTTGAATTTCATTTTGTTGCCCATTTACATTTATGCTGCGTTCTGGGCTCTAAAAGAGAAGGCAAGAAGCGGTCGCAATACAGAAAAGCCCTCTTTTAGTCAGGTCAGTGGCAACTAAATTAATTCGATAATTGACTTCCACTCTTGTGACTGCTCGTCCGGTCAGTTTTCGCTTAGTGTTTTCTTCTTTTTTTTTTTGCTTCTCAGAGCTGTGAGTTTGTCGTCCATGGGTCGTTTATTTTTTATGTTTGCGACGCCGCACACAAAACATAAAAACGTCTGTTGCGTGTTGCATATGGAAAATTGCCAAAAGGCGACAAGGGCAAACACTCAAAGGAGAGTGGCAACCGTGAGAGACGGATAGGGAGCGAAAGCCAAAAGAAGTCGCAAAAGGAAATGTAGCAAGGCATAATGGCCTGACAGGACCCAAACACAAGCAAAAATATAAAAAAAAATATATAAAAAATTCAGTTCCCAGTGCCTCGGTTTTTTTTCCGCAGTTCGGCTGGGAGTTTTAATAGTTGTACAAGTGCATGTGATTGCTTTATGGGATTTGGATGAACTTTGCGGCACGTGCCGGTTGGCATTTAGTTAATTATCGCAAATTAGCTAGCAATTGCCAAACAAATTGATTGCCGGCCTGCTTGAGGATTCAACTTGGGCATGAGAAACATTAAGTGCACTTTTACAAACTTTTATCGATGTAAATTGAGCCATTGAAAAGAACAAACATTACGAATGCTAAGTATTATCTAGCTTACATGCGATCTGTTAAAAACAAATACCTTTTAATAATTTAAAGAGCTCATCATCACCAAAGACTTGAATACCTTAGAAATTGTAAATGTTGTTTTATTAGAATTTATAAAGGAGAGCTAGAGAGAAGTGAGTTTAAGTGAGATAAACAGAGAGTCGCAGTGTGTGGGAGAAGTGGAAGCAAAGCCAGTTCATTATACACTTTTTTCTATTACTTATTTTACATTCATACAGAAATCAATTAGTAATAACAACAATAATCGAAATCATAAGTTTAACTAACTGCAAAAGCAGATTATTAAAAGTTGTCGTTGCCAAATCAAACATTTTTGTAATAAACACCATCAAAGAACTGTGTGTTAAAAATTGCTTGGATATGTGAGTGCTTTAATGTGTCTCTGTCGCACTGTGGCTTGCCTCTGTTGTTGTTGCATTCAGTTGAGTTTTTTTATTTATTTTTTTTTAGCATTGTCTTAGCTTAAAGCTGAAGCGTTCATTTGGTTGCTGCTGCTTTCCACGTCGTTGACTCGGCATCAGTTTGTGAGCAAATGCTACAGCAATTTTTACTTATGCCTCAATACTTTTTCCTTGTCCACGCAGTGTACAAGCGAGGGGCGGTGGGGTGGTTGAAAAAACAGAGCGACATGACAAAATGAAAAAGGATACTTGGATGCTGAATACTGGACTGTTGGCATCGCGGGCGTGCATCAAAAAACATGACATGGCACGAGCCATTTCGTTTGTTTTTCTATTCTTACTGTGCAGCAATCTGAATCTTTTTTCCTCATATTTTTTTTTTTATTCTTTTTTTTGGGCTGCGTCCAAAACATATTTTTTATATTCTTGTGCGCTTTGAGTAAAATATTATGTTACAGCCAACAAAAACTTTTCTGTTGCATTTCAGCTGGCGGCGTTGGAAAAAAAAAAAAATATCTGGAAGAAAAAAAATGTTTAAAAATTGTAAACTTAGTTAAATGCATTGGGATAGTGTTGTGCTTATGCATATTCAAAATGCTTGGGGCCTGTTCTGCTCTAAGCGCACACAAGCAATTCATTAAGCGCAATAGAAAATGGAAAATTACTGAGGGAAACAAGCTTCGGACAGTTTACGAGCCGCAGACGCAGACAACAAAACGGGCGGGGCACAAAATGTCGATGGGTTGCATATTTACTACTTTGAAATGTTTCATTTTATTGGTCTCGAAATGAACAAATGGAGCGCACAGCCACACACACACACGGGCAACACACACATGCGGTGTTGACTCCAAAAAATTGTGCATAATTTATGAGCGCAGTGTAAACGGCGGCAACACACGAAAGGACTTCAACTCACACACACACACAACACAGAACACACACATACATTGTCAGACACGACGCACGAACCAGCTGATTTAAATGCAATTGTATTGAAGTATGTTGTCAGTTGGAGGCTGTGTGGATGCGGCTCACGTGCAGCACCAAAATTGCTGCATATATATACAAAAGAAAAAGAAAAAAGAAGAAATATAACAGAAAAGGGATAAGCTGGAGTAAAGGAAGAGAGTGCTGCATACAGCCTGGGGCCAGTTGCATCGTATCGACATCGGCTGTCTTGGCAATTTCTTTTCATTTGCCAAAGGTGTTGAGACGTATGTGCTACGTGGCCAGGTCAAGGAGCCAGACCCCTGTTGTCCACAAGTGTCGTCTATTTGCCGGCTGTCGGCCATTTTTGTCTGCCTGGTCTGCCTTCGAACCTGGCAAACAACCGACAAATTTAGTGTATTTTGTGCATTTTTAAAATGAAGAAATTTATGTGACACGCTGCGCCAATTGATCAAATTAAATAAACATGAGACCAGGCAACGTACCATCTTCCCAGCCATCCAGAACTGTTCACTGAGCCCTGAGCATTGCATCTGCATTGCCAAACAGAGAAAACACAACGACACAATGCAAACAAATTTCGTTTGCAGCAAACTGTAAACGACAAACTGAATTTAGAGCATGTCATTCATTTCTCACAACATATATATATCAAATAACTCAAAAAACTTGATAGCGTCTATCTTACTTATAAATATACTTATAAAATAGTCTAAATATAAATTTTCTAAAGTATTTATATATTTGACTTAGGCTTGCACATTCTAATTTTTGGTTTCTATAAGTCTAAGAATATATCATAGTAGGCCGGCCACTAGTGTTGTACTAAGACTGTAACTTAACATTTGTAACTTAACATCTGTAATTTAACATGCATCTATTTACTTAACATATGATATCGATATCATTCGATATCATTGGTGTGATCAGCAGCTTGATGCAGAAGAGCTCAATCGTTGTGAATAAAGTAAAATAAGCAGACTTGTTTGAGTATGAAATATAATTTTGTTTTGACTGCTAAAATATTTTCGAACAATAGTGTTATGAAAACGCCTTTTACTCTTTCATTTTCCTACTTGTTTTTAGTCACTCACTCAGCCTTCTATTCATGTTGTCAATGAATTAAATTAGTTCTTATAAATAACTAACCGAATTGAATATTCTAAAATCCTATAACTCCAACACATACATTTATGTATTTAAATTGTCTTTTGTATATATGTGTAAATTGATAATTTGTGCACAATGCGATTGTTTGTTGGCACGTTTATATTTTTAGGTAGCTTATAGTTTTCATTTGAGGGTTGATTTCCAACTGCGAGTGCTGGCAATCTGTTTATAATAGCTTTGTTTAATGGATTGGCGCTTCAGTCAAGCCGCAAAACTTTTAATCAAATGCGCCCCGCTAATTACATTAGTTTCAACTGTGGCTCAGTGCGAGCCACGTTTGTTCTTGTTTTTGTTGTTGCTGTTATTTTTGTTGCCTGTACATTTGATAATATTCAATTATGTCGAGGCGAGCATTGTGCTGACTTTGGCATTGACAACGTGTGGCTGCAAACACACACACACACACACCCACACACACACACTCCCACACACGTATACACATATAAAAGAGACAGAGAGACAGCAAGGCGGAAATAGGAAATGTTATTGTCGTTGCGCATACGTCCCCCAAAAACCCCTCCACCCACACACTTTGGCACTCTTGTTGCGCAAAAGTTTTGGCATAAAACAAAAATGTGATTTACATGGGGAAACGCAGCGAACAATGCGCTTGCCTCGCGTGTATGTGTATGTGTGTGTGTGTGTGTGTGTGTGTGTGTGTGTGTGTGTGTATGTGTGTGCGTGTGTGTTGTATTGGCAACAAAGAACATTTCATGTTAAACAGCTGGCATCGCCTGTCGGAAGCCGCCGGCAAAAAACTTGCCACAATGCAGAATGGGCGCTCAACTCTCGGCTCGACTTGAATCGACTCGATGCTCGACTCTTTGGTTTCTTATCAGCCGCTGTCAAAAAAGTTGCCGCAATGGGGCGCCATGTCAGACACCTGTTGCCAAGTTAATGAAAACTCAATCGCTAGCAGTTGGCGCAAAACTTTTCAATTCAATTCAATTGCCTTTCAACTGATTAACTATATAAACAAATTATTACCACAATTTTATTTTACAAGATATCTTATTTAAACTCACCAGCTTCACAGATCCTGACTAAAAATATCAACATCTGATTACCATAAAAACTCTTAAAATGTCATGAATTTTTCAGTTTTTAATGGATTATCTTAATTGAATTTAATTTCAACATTAGATTAAGCTGTGCAATTTGAAATCTGGAAAATGAGAATTAAGCAAACTATAAACTTGATTCAATATTATTTATTCTAAAATATCGATTATTTTTATACGTTTTGAACTAAAGTCTGATTTTATTTGTTTGCTGCTTTTTTTGGGACTTCACTTCAGACTCCAGTTGTCAGCTGATTATGAAAATAAAATTCAGACAGTTGACGCAAACTTTTTCATTTAAATTCAATTGCTGTATTTTTATATAAATATTTTGAAAATAATAATTCGAAGCATGATCTTTCTGCAGCTCTGGTGGACACTGATGGTGCTCACGGGCAGCACAACAGCGGAGGGCGGATCTCAAGCGGGCAGCGTGCAATTGAGCAAGTTTCATCATTCCGTAAATGAGGCACGTGACCAGCTGCACGAACTGCAGTCGAACTATGATCAGGTGCAGGCTGACGAGCTATATCGGCCCAGACGCAACAGCATTGACGATCTGTTGGCGAGCTTTGCGCAGGCGACTGATAAGGAACGGAATGACAAGGACGAGGATCAGTCGCTGCAGCAGGCGGCAGATGATTGGTTTCGCGATTTAAATGCGGGCATGGAGCAGCGAGTGAACGCGGATGCAGCGCCATCAGCAGTTGCGGTCAAACATTTGCGTGCAGCAGGCAAGAGTCAGGCAACCAACAATGGTTTGGCTTCAGAGCAAACCGAGGTGGCCAAAGTCAAGAAAAAGTACAAGGATATGAGTGAGGAACATCTACCTCTATATGTACTGCCAGAAAAGCAGCCCTACGAAACTGTTAAAGGTGGCGCCACCGAACTGGACATTAAGTTGAAGCATGTGCAACAGCAGCTGCACAATCAGGAACAGCAGCAGCATATGCTACAGCAGCAGAGGGAGGAAAAAAAGGATTTCAGGACGAGCAAGGAGAGAGAGAGGGAGAGGGAGAGTCAACTGCCCCAATATGGCGACAATCCTGTGCCAGATGGGGTATACGAGCAAACGCTGGCACGCCTCCAATTCTCACGCAACAATGCAAATAATCTGTCGCACGAGGCCAACTACAAGCTATCCAAAATCGAACAGGAGGCTGCTGAAGCGAGAAGCAAGTCGCGCTATCCCGCTGGCCTAAGGAAACGTAGCTCCACCTCAGGTTTCAATCCCATGAACGAGATCAAGCTGAAGACCAGCAATAGATTAATGCGCAAGGGAATGGGCCCATCGCTGCCCAGCAATGCGCTGACGGACACAATGCGTGCCCACTATGTGGATGATCTGATAATGCGACGGGAGCGAAAGATGCAGCGACAAAAGGAGCAACAGGAACAACTGCATGGGAATGAGAAAAACGCAATGCTTCAACCATATGATACTCTGGACTCTCCAGATGCAAGCTCCATGTCAAGTTCCAGCTCTAATGTGAACCTTTATGACACACCGCAAAGCTACGATTATCGCTTGCCCCACATTGATCAGTTCCATGCACTCAGCCAGCGCGTCTTGCCCCATATGCGAGATTATGCACATGCCAATGCCAGACTGAAGATGGAACGGGATCGGGAACGCTTCAAGCGACATCCAGAGCAGCTGAAGCAATCGGAAACGATAAAGGAGAAGTGTGAGAATGCCATGGAGTCGGAAAAGGCAGTGAGTAAGCTGCCCGAAGCGGAGGATCTCATGGCCAAGCTGGCTGCAAAGGATTCGCCTGTAGTCAAAGAGAAGCCCAGTCATGAGTTGGAAATGGCTAGCAATGTCAAAGCAGGACCAGAGCTCAATTCAGCTCAACCCGCTGCACCTGTCAAAGCTGATACTGCCGAACAGTCCAAGGCGGAAATAAAGTTAATAACTGATGATAAGAAACAGCTGGAAGTCAATCTCAATCAGCACAATATTCAGAACACAGATCAGAGACCGCTCAACGAAGCCAAATCGCAGCTGGAAGCAAAGCCTGTGGCTCAGTTGACTGCCAAAAATCAAAACGTTGACTTACAGCCGACTAATAAAAATGGAAAACTGAAGAGGGATGATAAAGCCTTTCGCAGTGTACTCTGCAAGAGTCATCCGGATGCTGTGGTTAAGTTGCTAGCGAATAAAATTTCACAGCACGCCAACGACAAAGACCGCGATAAGCGTCATGCGAAACGCTGGAGCTGGCAAAGAGTGCATCGCCAGAAGGTGGGTCATAATGGTAACATGGCCAATGAGGTGGTTCATCATAAGCGACGCAGTAAGCGTTCGGTGGAGCAGCCAGTGGTGCAGGTGGTGTTGCACTTAGATGGACAGTCAAAGCTGGATTCAGTATCTAGACCAGATTTAAAAAAGGCACCAGTTCCGACAGTGGTGGAGTCAGGAGTGCAGTTGGTGGTAAAGTCACTGGAACAGTCACAAGTACAATCCCCGATAAAGTCGCAGTCTGAGTCACAACTTACCTCACAAATTGGGCAACAATCTAAGCCACAACTTGAACCACAATTGAAGCTATTGGCACAGTCAAATGAGGCAACCCATCATAAGCGACCAAATAAACGATCTGTGGGGCGGACAGAGGCACAATCGGAGTCTCAGCTGGAGCCACAATCACAGGCACAGTTACAAACACAGTCTGATCCACATTCAGATCCACAGTCTAATGTTTACTCGGAGTCACAATTGGGGCCACAGTTTGTGGCACATTCCAAAATGGAGCTACAACTGCAGCCACAATATCAGAAACAGTTTGATACACAGGAACCACAATTACATTCTCAGTCCCAGACATACCCAGACCTGGAGACCCAATCAGACTTGCAGTCACAAGCACAATCACAAGCACAGCTAGGTCCACAATTGGAGCCACAGTCCATAGTTCAGCCAAACCAACAGAGAGATAAAGAGTCCCATCAGCAGCATTCCGTATTGCTCGATTCTTTTGCGGATCAGAATGGCAATCGGGAAGGCTTTGGTAGTCAGGATACCAGCAAGTTGACCAGATTGGCAGGTGAATACGAAGAGGAAGGAAATGATGAAACGCTGCACTATCCAAGACAACAGCTGTTGGGGTTTAAGGATGAGCAAAATGCTAACGAATTCAATAGCAATCCCTATTTCAATTCACGCTATCAGGTGCCGATGTTAAATCCTCGCAGCAACTACAATAATTTGGCTTATCAGCAACAGCAGCAGCAGCTGCAGCAGCAACCATTTCAGCAACCGCAAATGTTGCCACAGCAGCTGCAACAACAACAGCAGCAACCGGCAAATAGCTTAAAGCCCAATATTAACTTAACACACTTCTTCAGTGAGCTGGCAAAGCAACATCAACAACAGATGCAACAGCAACAGCTGCATCAACCAGTGAACCAGCAGCAGCAATCGCAGCTGCAACAGCAGCAACAAGCTAACCTGGAAGCCAACCAGCCCAAGGCTTTGTTTGGCGCACATCGTTACTTTACACCTCTATTCAACAAGGCCAAGCTAAATGTGCAGCCCGATCCTTGCTTGACAGCAGCAGCAGCAACAACAGCAGCAGCAGCAGCAGCAACAACAGCAGCACCAACAGCAGCAACAACAGCAGCAACAACAGCAGCAACAACAACAGCATCTAGTGCCGGTGGCACCACCATGAATCCCGACTGTGTGCCCATCGCAACAGAAGCAGACAGTACAACATCAGCAGCGCCTGACAAGGTTACATCGAATCCCTGCAACGCTGCTGATGCAGTTAAGCTGAATGTGTCCCTTAATGCGCACGTGTGCAGCGATCCAAAGACCAAGCAGCTCTATGGGAACGGCTCGATCTGTGTGCAGCCAAGCAATCAGCGAATCAATCCGGAGACGTACTCCAACCTGGAGGATGCACTGGTGGATGAGACAGATGAAGACCTAGACAGCGATGAGCGTTACTCCAGGCAGGCCAGGGAACGCAGTGAGACAAATGATAAAAGAAGCCAGAAGGGCAAGAAGCATCCGGCAGGCAGCACAAAAAAGTCAGAAACAACAAAAGTTCCCAAAGGACAGACGACCAAAAGGTAAGTCCAAAATGAGTAAACTTTAAATAATATATTTTATTGCAAGTGAATTTTTGGAGCTAATAAATGTTATAATTTCTTAATATTAATACAATTTAAAATAAATTATTTTTTGATACAACTTTTATTAAAATCTTTAGCACTGCAACTACTGGCTCCTGTACCACCTCTAATCATACCAGCACTCATCATACGGAACTGGAGGAAAACTACAGCGAGGATTTTGAAAAACTAGTTTCCGGCAGGTTATCGAAAGACATTGTGCATGCCGTCTTCGAGATGGTCACCAATGATCCCAGCCTAGATACACTGTACTCTGTGCTCTCGCGCAATCGAAAGTGCACCTACAAGCGACCCCCGATCTTCTACCAGATACGAAACGACAAAAGCGAGAAGCAATTGCAGCAGACCGAGGAGATGGTGCGTCGAACCATGGAGTCCATTAGCGATATTATTGATAAGCAAATGCAGCAGAGAAACTGCATCCCACTGCGCCCGGATCTGGTGGAATTCTATAACATGATCATGAGATCAAATGCTCAGCAGCAGAAGTCGCGCGAGAAGCGTGAATCCAATCTGCGACTGCTCGTTGATCACAATAAGAAGCAGCGTATCCTAAAACCGGCCAACATTGAGCAGAAGTCACGAATTGTCAAGAAGCTGTTGCGGCAGTACGAGAAACTACCTGTGAAGGAGCAGCTCCACGCTGCCGGCATGCGAGATGAGCTGCTCATGGATTTGATCTATCTCCGCAAAATGGTGGACTCATTGGAGCGCAGCCAGCGCAAGGCACAATTGCAGAGCGTTCTGGACAAGACGAGCAACAGCGAGTCCATCGATGCAGATAAGCAGATGAATCTGGATTATTCACCACGTTTCCTCAAGCTGCTGAAGGCGGCGGAAATCTACAAGGAGGTTGGCGAGCAACAAGCAAAAACCTATATTGGACTCTGAATCGAATGTTAATTCGTTTTATTTTTCTTCAAGTTGATTAAATTCGTATATTTCTTAAAACTAGTTCGATTTAATTTTCGTTTTGTGCAATTCTAAATGTAACTTTATTCTGAGCTGGAATATAGGCATTGAGTGAAATATTATGTATATTATGTGTTCATAAAAAATTTATTATTGAAATAAAAGAAATTCGATTACGAATTTGAAAAAGAAATCTATACAGCCTTTGGTGCATTAGTTAAAATCATATACTAATATAATAATTTAACAATCAAAATATAATATTAAATGAAAATTTTCTGCTTTCTATCTATTTTTCTAAGCCAAACAAGTCTCAATAATACCTTGCATACGTGCGGGACTATTTTCCATAGCTTATCCCATGCCTAAAAGTAGGCAATAAAGTGGCAACCACCGCCCTCCGCATCTATCTTGGGTGTTTCCAGCACTTTGGCTACATATGAGATAAGTGTTAGTTATGAATTAGTTATTAGAATTAATTATAAGTGTAGTTAAGAATTATAATTCTTTCTCTTCTTTACTTGATTCAGAACGATTAATTTCTTCTTCTTTCAGTTGGGGATCACACAATTGATATCGATCGATGTCGATATTAATGTTATGTACATATGTTAAGTTACAGTCCTGTTAATTAGGCCTGTTAGCTGTTAACCAGCGTAATTATGTTCAAGCTGTTTTTATTTTATTTAAATTATACATTTATTCAATAAATAAAGTATTTATTATTTTATAAATATAAATTCGATTAAAAAATTGGGAAAATAATCTTTGGTGCATTACTAAAAGTAATGGGACAGGCCAATATTGGCGCCAAAGTCCCGCTTGCCATTAAGCGGACCGCTTATCCACTTGGAGGCGGTGCTGCTCAGATCTAGGCGCGTATTGCGATCCTGAGATTGCCACAGATTGGCACGTCCGCCCAGTTCGATCTGCTTGCCAAAGCCGGGAATATTGCTGTGCGTTGCACTGGCGCCATGTCCATTGATATGCGAGTAGTCGAGACCAGCGCCATTGCGATCAAATTTGAAGTTATTAGCCAGCTGATTCTGTGAGGCGAAGGCCTTAGCATCCAGATTGTGAACACCATCGTTGTACAGATTAGCAGTCAATGTCTGCTGGAAGCTGTCACGGACATTAGGCGTATGCGTCTTGGTCAGCTCCAGACCATTACCCTGACTACATAAATAGGATTGGTTAGCTTGATTAATTACAATAAGGAGTACGAGTAAAGGAGGTAAACTTACTTGTTGTAAGCCAATGTGGCGCCACTGGTGGCGGGGGCAGCTGGGCCTGGTCCGCCGGTGTGCGTATTGCCCGCAGCAAATACCTGTCCAATAATATTATGTTCCGGTGTGCCCAGCGCCTTAGTTAACTCCACACGAGCATCGGCGCCGCCATTGGGATTCGAGGCAAGCGAACCGCCCAGCACCTGACGACGAGCACGTTGGTACGTCACTGGTGGTGGCGGTGGCGGATAGTAGATTAAGTTCTGGGTATAAGGTTGTTGCGGCATAGCTGCGGCAAACACGCCCAGCAGCCCAATGCTGACAATAATGCACGTCACAATCATCTGACACATGTTGTAGAGCTTGTAAATTGATTAGAATATTGATTTGCTTGCTTGAAGCTGATGTCGCTGAGTGATGATGCTCTGATAATGTTCACTTGGCTTTTATACTAGCGATAGCTTCCCATTGATGCCTGCTGCTTCTTCTTTTGCTAATTGTGCTTCCCTATCAGGTGTGATTTACATCGAGCGAACTTTTGGGTCGAGCCTTATCTGCATGCAATTCGTTCAACATCTCATTAGGAGTCGGTGATTCCCTTATCTTGGCAATGACAATTATGACAATAACCAGAAACCCCCGCTGTATGCTTGGCCCAATTAATCACCTCAAACCAAAGACCAGATGTAATATATAAACAGGAAAATCTGAAAAGATTTATAAGTAAATAATATAGAATAATGAAGTATAATTTTTAGTTATTAATGAATTTATATTTAAACGATCTTAATCATTTATATATAATGAATACCAATATATACAAATAGACCGTATTAATATATCAATGCCTATATTTTTATATTCTTACAAATCATATATATTCTTAATCAGTATCACTAGTCGAATCGCTATATTCTTTCACCAAGATGTCATGCTCCTCACATTTGGCATAAAAATCATCATCGGAAATATTAAATATTCTCACTTCCGTTAGTGCAACAGAAAACATATTAATATAATTTAAACTATATCGTACAAAAAGATTCAGCAAAGTAATATTGTTATCAGCTGCGTACTTAAGAATAATATTGTTATGATTTAATATTTATTTATAAAAGAGCTAAATTTCTTTTGGTCAGCAATGTGCTTAAACCAAGTAAATTGTTTTTGATTTGTTTTTGCAATCGCTTATACATTGATTTTGTTTACATAAAATAAATTCAAAATTATGTATGCATATTGTATGGACACTAATTTAATAAGTTCAACAGATTTGAAATTACAACAAGAAGGCATTTTGCAATTTGTTGCCGTTATTAAAAGCAACAAAAATGCATCCAGTTGCAGATGAACGGGTGCGGCATGTGTACATTAAGAAGAGGAGCAAGCGGAAAGGCAAAAGGCCGCAAAGATACAAATTGAATTCAAAATACAAGAATAACTCTGAGCTGCTTACCAATTTGCGAATGCTGAGTAACGAGGAATCGAATCACAGTCAACAGTTGGCCAGGGCACGCTCGAAGAGAGCTATGCTCCGAGTACTACGCAAGTATAGAAACTGGTTACTTAATTGGAATAAACAGATCAAGGTGCAGCAGCAGATAATCCAGGAGTTGTACAAGGAGGAGCAAAACTGTGATGGGCGGCTGCGACATTTGCGCAATAAGCTGAGAATATTGCCCAAACGTCGCAAAATACTCAAAAGATGTTTTCGAAACGTTAATCTGATGCTGGAAAAATCAAATATGTTTAAAGGCTCCAGTGAACAGGAGCAGCTAAAGATGAATGCATTAAAAGCAGAAGCAAGACAGATTTGGATGTATCTAAAGCAAAGGAAAAACAAAAAGTTGGGGCTAAGGAAAATTGATGAAGATATAAGCCAATTTTCAAACTTTTGGAAATCCGAAGTGGTGCGAAAAGGCAAAAATCATAATGTAGATCAAAGTAAACATGCATACGAATCAATATTTGAACATAACGAAATGGATAGGAGAAAAAAGAGTGAAAAGCTCTTAAAAAATAAGCATCATGCCACTAAAAAAAGACTGTCTGCAACTGAGCTAGCTGAAGCAGAGACTGAAAATTTACTAAAACCCTATGGCAGTGAAAATTCCAAATCCAAATCCAATCCAAAGCCAAATCCAGAAATGCACGATGAGCATAAATCGACAGCTAAGAAATATTTTGGTTTTCAGTTCAGATCACGAATAACGCATCCAAGTCAAGGGCATGTCAAAGAGAAGAATCGAGATGGTAAGAAAAGTTGAACCTTAACAGAAATAAATATATATATATGTATAAATATTCAAATATAGATACACCGACTCCACCTATTGAAATTCCGCAAAATGAACCCGTGGGTGCGGCTCTCATGAACATATTGGGAAACGAACGGCACGAGGAATATTATCCTGTACAGTTTTTGCTCAGGTATGTTATACGTGAATCTAGCATATTGGACAAACTGGAGGACAAGAGTACTATTGTCGATACAATGCGGAAGCATTATATGTGGAAAATTTTAAATGGTGTCTATCGGGATCTACAAACTTTCGGCATATCCAAAGACGACATTTTGAAGGAACTTGGAGACCTCTATGTAAAATATACAGAAGATATATTTAATGAAGCTATACGAAATGGCGCGTTAACACGTCACCGTGGAGACTTGGGAGAATCGTCTGTCATCACCCCACATGATCAGATGAGCGACGAATCTCTCGAGAACTTCCTAGAACCAACTAGACGTTCGCGCGCGATATCCCTGCGGGAGCAGAGTTCGTTATCCACTGAGGCAAGTCCAAAATCCCTCAAAAATTCAGTAACTTCTCTGCCACTGAGAGACGTGATGAACTTCAAGGATCGCTACTCGTCGAAGCATCTGCTGCAAATGCGTCTTGCTATTGAGAAGTATTTCCAGAGTCAGCAGAAATCACAGCTGTTGTTGCAGCTCGAGGAGCGAAAGAAGCGAGCAAACGATGAAAGTAAGGCGACTCAAGCAAAACCAAAGAAGCCAAATCGGAAAGTCAACATTGCACGCTTGTTTTATGCCCCGCGTCGCACCTGTCGCCAACGTCAGGTGGATGAGGCGATCAAACCGCGTGATTCACAACAGGAGACGCAGGAGCGCTGCATGCGTTGTGGCACTGTATTGCCAGCGCTGCAGCCTTGTGTCGCCTGCAGCCTGTCAAATTGCTTGATATCAGATTGTGTGAAAAATAAGCAAATGTCAAATATCAACTCGGATGTTTTCCATGACCAGCAGGCAACTTTGTGCTCCAAGTTGGTCGCTGCAGCAGCTTCAATTCAACAAGCAGCTTGTGCGCAGTCAGAATGAATGGCGAATTTGTCAAGCGGCCGTCAGGAGTTGCTCAGTCTGATCAACCAACTTGCAGTGTTGCAAGTGCTGCAAAACGTTGAAAACAAAAAGCACATTTAGCGTAGCTTCACTTGCAATACTACATGATTGGGTTGGAAGTTACACTTGCCACAAGATGCTGTCAAATCAGCCAACAACTTGGCTACTTTTTCTGTAACCGTACCATGGAAAACATATCTTCTTTTTTTTTTGGAAAGACTTAATTCTTAAAAGTATATAAGATAAACGAATGTTTGTATTTAATAATTTCTACATAATGCAATTTTCGGTGAGTTGGAAACGTTTAAACTTTTGGTGTTAAATTTTGATAAAATTATAGTAAAAATGCTGTGAATTTTGTGGATCTATAGTTCGGATAATTTCAAACCTTGAACCAGTCTGTAAAGTATTCATTTAAATAATATCGAGAATTTGTAGTATATTTTGCACTTTTTTTTCACATGTTCTAAAAAAAGGTTTTCTTCCATTGTACACTGCTGTTACTGGTGCTGCTTGAGGCAAATGAAACATTTTGTTTAAGTGCAAAATAAATTCAAGTAATGAGTTTGCAGCGCTTATGGCCGCCATTCGTTGCACAAACACATACGCAGTAGCGGACTGCGAGCTGCTGGTTGCTTGGGCGTTAAATGCTTGCCAAGTTTCATAAAATATGCAAAAGCCCAACACACACACACACACACACACACACACTTACACACACACACTACAAGCATGCACTCACGTAGGGGAAAATGGGTAGCTGGCTTTTAATACACTCTCTGCAGGCTGGCGCTGCAATTTTGGGCCAAGTTTTTAAGTCAAGCGGCTGTAATGGAATTTTATTGCAGCACTCGCATTCTGTTTGCGCAGCCGAAACATGTACCAGACATTTTCATAAACGTTCTTAAGCAAAACGATACGAAACGACAAGAAAATGAATCTCGTGCTTAAGTTCTGTGGCTCTTTAAGTCTTTCCGCCTTAAAGTGTCCACCAAAACTGTCGAAGGCGAAACGCAATAAGAAGGTTGAAAATTGATGCCTGCGATCAATCATTTAGTTGCCGCTGCTACTTGTATATAGCCATCTTGTTTGACCAGAATGCGGCAGCACTTTCATTTTAGCCAGTAGCCGGCCGACAAACTAGATTTCACCAAATCCATCCCAACAGTTTTAGCTGTCCAACGCAACCTCAGAACAATTCCGCATATTGCTCTCCAGTCAGTCAGTCATTCAGCTCGTAAGTTGAGACGTTTTCATTTGCATTTGGTGCCGAAACGAACAAAAATTAAGTGCTTCACTTTGGATATTTGACTATTAAATGCCCTGTGTATTTAATTATATTTATTATTTATTATTGTTTATAAAGTATATGTGTGATGCTAGTCTTAATTAAGTTTAGGCATGAATAGTCAGCACTTTATATTTTTAAATAATTATATTTATATTTACTTCAAATTGTAAAAACTCATAAATATTTCAGATGTGTGAAAATAAATTTTCCTGTTGCTTTTCTAATTTATTTATTTACTTATATATTTTAATGAAATCTTTGTCAAAAGTTCGGTATATTAACCATACAGTTAATATTTATTTCTATAATAGAAATGGAAGAACAGATCGTGTAAATCGCATCAAAATTTTGCAAATTTAGTGTAGGGTATCTATGAAGGCGACTGCGTTTTGTTCATTGCCATCGTCATGGCGCTCAATTTGCGTTGACTGCCTGTAACATTATCTTGTTTGCTCATGACACGCGCGCCGCATCCGCGTGGAAGCAATCCAGTGCACAGACCAAGAGGAGGACCTCGTTCCGGACTTGGACGGAGGACGGCTTCAGCTGCTTGGCATTGTCCAGCTTTGGCATTTCACTCATTTCTCACATTTTGCAGCTCGGTTGCAGCTTTTGTCATTTTTCTTCGCGCGCTTTATTTTTTTTTTCTTTCTATAAGTCATTTGTGACTTAAGTCTTTTGGCTTGTCAAAACAAACGAAATGGAGCGTTGAAATAACTGACAGCAGGAGATGTCCATTGAGCGAAGCAAGAGCAATAACAACCAGAAGGAGAAGAGAGGCGACACCAACATCAACAGGCATTGTCCGGGCATGTTCTATGCGCATTCACAATTCGGGTAATTGCATTTTATTAGCGCTTATCTATTACTGCTGCCGGCGGCCCATTGTCATTCGCCTTGTCATTTTGCAGTGGATATTTAATTAACTTTTATTCACAACACTCAATTTAAATCTTCCGCTTGCATCTTGTGTTGGAACACATGTAAGAAGATGCATAATAATAGCCAAGGCAAACATTTTTTAAAATGCATAACAAAGCAACCAGCGCAAACACACAAGACAATAGACCTTAAGAGGGTATACCTCTATTATAATTGGACACAGGTGTGGGCTGTGCTCAGTGCAGTAAGCGGCTAAAAAATAGACTGTTTAGGAAAAGATAAAAAGAAAGCAAAAATAAAAAGATAAATGTGCCCGTTGGGCCTTTAATGGTTCCAGCTAATTGAATTGAGTGTCTGTAGAATCACCTGTGATTGTATTTCTGCATTTTATTTTGTAAAATTAATACAGCAACAGTTTCTGTTTTCTACTATCAAATAAATAAATTATGTTAAGCTGTGAAAGCTATATAAAATAGATTTATTCTAAACGTTTGCTTAAAATGTTATTTATTTGTTTTAAGTTCATTCAAATAAATATTCTATATACCATCATTTATATTACCATTAAATAACTTCAATATAAATATACGGTTAAGCAGCGTTTAATAACAAAAATATGTATGTTGTTTCAATTGATTAACTACTTAAATTTATATATATATATATTTTATTGCAACAATATTGAAACTTGTGAATGGGGAAAGTGAAGCACACTAAAAGCTCAAAACAATAACTTATTGGCTGCAATATAATGCATACTTATACTACACTTATTAAGATTTAAACTGCACAAATTAGGCAACTTTAAGCCAATAGTTTCAGAAATACTTACGATAACTGCAATTTGCACTTAACCCCAGCTAGCCAATATGCTTGTGGCTGCTATCTAGGCTCCAAGCGTTCGCCTTAGGACAATTAAAGCAGACCCCACACACGCACACAGTCGCATCCACTGGCACACACACATAGACAAAGCGTTGAAACCACTCAAACCACTCGAAAAGTTGTCCGCAAAGTGCGAATGCATAATTAATTCCAATTATGAGTTTACCCAACAACATTGGCAACATTGGCTACACTTGCCTCTCGCACTGAACTCGAGACGACACAAGATGACTTCGTATATATATCTATATATATATCTATATATATATATGTATTTAGCAGCTCTGTTGGGGGGCAGTCTAAAGACTTATCAGCACATCGACAGCACCATCAGCTATACTGCCTGAACTTTGTCAACCCTATTGCGACTGTTGCTGCTGTTGCTGCTGCTTGTTGCATAGTTTGAGTGAGCCAAGTGCTTGGCATGTTTAAACACATGCTTAAGTGTCATTTAGACAGTTATCCGCTTGGCAGCAGCAACAGCAGCAACAGCAGCAGCGGCAACGTTAACGGTAAAGGAATCAGCCTTAAGGTTTTAGCCAGACAATTGATGGCTGTGTGATAAGTGCGGCGCGTATTTCTTGTACCGCTTACATTCTTTTTTTTTATGTATATGCATACTTTTTTGCTTGCCTCAATTACAAAATGCTTAAAATTGCAATATCAATAACATTTTACGTGGTCGTTTTTTTATTTTTACTGTGGTATCTTAGGAATGGGGTGAAAGTGCTATTGTGTCTAAGTGTTGCAGCCTTCAAAGCTGCCTTCACTATAAACGGAAATGCATTTTTGTTGATGCTGTTGCTGCTGTTGTTGTTGTTGTTGGTGGCTGCCTGGCTGCTTGGGTGCTTGGCTGCTTGGTTGCTGTTGTTTTGGAGAGCAGTCGCGTCGCGTCGCGTCTGCTAAGGACTCAAGTGTTTTAATGGATTTTCTACATGCATACAAGCTGTTCATTTAGTACCCACCCTCGTTGCCACTCCCACTCACTCTCTGTCACACCCATGAACTTTAGCCAAACGAATTGAAGGAATGTCAAGTTCTGTTTGTGCCTTCGACTATGGGGCTATGATATCTACACATGCAGCACATCAATCATGCGTAAGACACCACACAGCGACAATCTACAACCTTAAGCCAATCCTGCAATCCAAACGAAGTTCAGTTCATAAAAGATAATAAGCCTTAAGCTTACCCGCATGCCACTCACAACTTAAGGCCCAAACAGCTGATGCCCACATCCAAATAACAACAACAACAACAACAAGCAACATCAGCACGAATAGCAAGAAAACCAAGGTGGCAGCCGCCCAACAAAAGCCTATAAATTTTTAGATTATTTGCATATTGTGTCGAGCACTGCGAGGGTTTCATTTCCTGTACTCTATTATCAGAGGCTACAAGAGTATATTGAAATTGCGTCTGTCCTTTTGAACACTATTAATTATAAAAGGCTACAATTAACATTTCTTTATTATTATCGTTATTTCTCAAAAAATATTATAAATAAAATAATGTTTTAATGCTAGAACCACATTTTATAGATTACTATTGACATCACTGAAAAAGTTAGAAATATATACAAAAATATATTATTAGAATCCAGATTTAAAATTGCCCTTCACTTATTTGTTTATTGTTCTTTAGTTGTACCCTATGAACAGAGTATCTTGCTGTCCAAATACATTTTCTAACATGTTTTTATACATTTTCTTTCAGTTTTTCTTTTTGCATTTTGTTTTTATAATTTAAGCAGAAAGTGCGGCAAACTCAATTTGCTGTTTTCTTCTTTCCTTTTGGTTTTCTTTTTTGTGTGCATATTTTTTTTTTTCGCTGCTCAAACTAATGTAAATCAAGCGACATTAAACGCACAATGCATACAACAATAAATATGACAGGACCGGCTAGGATACAGCGATACAGGATCAACGTTGAGAGCAATCGCAGCGATTTATTTTTAGCACACAGACTTGAGACTGAGACGCACTTAAGAGTATCATAGTGTAATTTTTGTAAGCATAAAGCATAAAATTAATATTTGTCGCCGTTGCAGCTGCGCATTAAGTCTAGCAGACCCTCAACATCTTGAGGCAGGCGTGTGTTGCATGCAAATGCTTAATCAGATGTGTTCTGAAAAGAAAATGCAGTAGTTTGGCTTAATGAAGTTTTCCTTTTGTTGGCTTCTATTGTTTGTCC